GGAGGGATGTGTGGCCCAGTGAGCCTAAAAACTGCCAAGCTCTGTGTTGTAAACAATTCCTGCTGTGCTAATCATGCTTTGATCCAGGATCCCACACCATGGAATTATTGAATCAGAATGGTTGGGGTTTGAAGGGACTGTTAAAGGCCATCTGGTCTAACCCTCTGCCATGGGTAGGAACACCTTCCACTAGACAAGATTGGTCAGAGCCCCATCCATAGAATCTCAGAATATCCTGAGTTGAAAGGGACTCAGAAGGATCATCCAGTCTGACTCGCAGCCATGCACAGGACACCCCACCAACCCCACCCTGTCCATCCCTGGCAGCACTGTCCAAAGGCTCCTGGAGCTCTGGCAGCCTCGGGGCCGTGCCCATTCCCTGGGGAGCCTGGGCAGTGCCAGCACCCTCTGGGGGAAGAACCTTGCCCTGATATCCAGCCTGACACTCTCCTGGCACAGGTTCATGATGTTCCCTCATAATTGCACTGTACTTCCATTTACCATCAAAGTGTTTGGCTGAGGCATTGGTGAACCAGATGTCTTTAATTTCAGAGTATAATGTCACTGCAGGAACACCAAGTATAGCACTAGGCTTTTGTAGCTGTTGCAAAGCCAGCATATCTGGGATCATGGCTGTCTGTAATTTTGCAGGTTTTGTTGGGCCTTCAGTTATATCCATTAGACCTGTGACTCCTGAGACACGTGCACAGCATTTGTGCACTGTTGGTCTTTGTGCAATCCTACCTCGTGGAGCACAGCTCTTCTTAATACTGGCTAACAGATTAAAAGGTCTTTGGATTTGCACAGATTGGTGCTGTTGATTTTTTCTACTTGTTTAAGAGCTCAGAGATAGTAATCCCGTTTCCCGCTCAGAGTGTATCTCTTCTCAGGATCTTTTAATGCTGCAGAACTGAGCCCTAATGGTTGTTTAGGTCTGTGTGGGCCTTTCTGGAACATGTTACAGTAAGCCCCATGTTCAGCAAAACCCCATTCAGCTCTTACAGGATCATTGGAATGAACTGGCCCAAGTGATGAATATATTTTTAACTCTTCTATTAGCGTTTGTAAAGCCTTTTCTGACTATCAAGCCACCCCTAAGTCTGGCTTTTGCTCATTAATGCATACAATGGTCTTTTTCTATAGAAAATCCAGGAATGTGATTTCTCCAGTATCCAGAAATGGAACCATGAAGAACATGTATTTTACATCTAGAACTGCCATCCATTTGTGTGTAGCTGCTTGCAGGGTGGCACTGAGACTGGCAGTGTTTGGGATAAGTCTTTCTGTGTTGGCATTCAGCCACCAATAATCAATCATTAAATGCCACCTCATGTCTGGTTTCCTCACTGGCCAAACAGGAGGATTTTAGGAGGTATGTGTCCTAAATATAATACCCCTTTGTTCTAATTTTTTAATAGATTTTCTATTTTTTTCAGAAAATTTATTATATGCAGTTTTTTGGTTGGGATGACCAAACATTCCTGTTTTGCAATTGCCAAACTTCTTTTGAGGGCACCATATCTTAAAATGTTTTCTTAATGATTTGTGATTGCAAATGTGTGTGAGGTCATTCATTTTTCCCCAGCTAGCCATAAACAGACTTTGACAGTGAAATATATAATACTTTGTCCTTTGAATCCTGCTAGATGGACTCTCTTTATTTAAAACTTAAATTTATTTTTCAGCATCTGTAGGGGTGATCAGAGATATTTGGGCTCCTGTAGTAATTAAAATTCAAATGTTGCTTTCTAGGTCCTACTGGTAAGTAGATATGGGGCCCATCCTTATCAGACCATTGATAAGTCATAGTGAGCTGGGTGAGAAGGCCCAAAGTTCACCTAGAGCTCAGTATTTTTTTCCTTTTGTGTTTCTGTTAACTCAAAAGAACTGGGGAGGTTTTCTTGTGGAGGCTTTCCATTACTTGTGTTCTCCCCATCCTTCACCTCTTTGATTAAGTCTGCTGTCCTGCATTGGACTGTCCCCGAGGGCATCACAAGGGACTCTTGAGGTCACTGCTGTCATCCACATCTCCTTTTGCTCTTCCCAGAAATAAGCAGAGTTTTGATCTTTTGTTTCTCTCAAGTAGGGTATGTTTAAAAGTCCTCACCCAGCATTCTGGAGGTATCTGTATTTAAGTTTTTAGGCTCCTCTCAATAGCCTGAGTTTGCTCTCCAGGATGACTTTCCTAGCCCATTTTCCTTGTCTGGTTCCCAAGACATGCAAGAATTTTGCCCGTGTGGGGATAATCGCCTTCATTAGGCATTATATCTCTTCTAATTTCATGTCATCACCCCACTAAATAAATTTTTATCATTACAGGGGCAGCTCTCGATAGAAGTCTTAATTAGATTAATCTCTGTGGAGATTGGGGTGTTTCTGCGTTCACATCAAAGCTGCCTTTGTAACAGCAGAGATTTCATTAGGTGACCATATGGGTATGGAAGCTGGGTCTCCTCTTCCCATAACATTTATTCCCCCTGCCCAATATGCAGCCTTGCTGGTCATTGAATAGGGTTGATTGGCAAGCTCAGGTGCAAGATTTAATAAGATTTCTGGCTCCCAGTGTCCCTTAGCTTGAGTTCCATTCAGCAATATTCTAGCTTCCCCAGAAATTCCCTCTTGAAAAATACTCGGTTTCTGACTCCCATAATTTTCTTCCATATTTTTCCTGTAGATTTGCTAGTTGCAGGGAGTCCCAGGCCATAAGTTCTCTCTGTGTTCCTCCTCTGACCTCCTTGGGGTTGTTTGGACACTTTGGTCTTAATTATGTGTTGCATTTTAAAATCTGGAACCTCTTCCTCTCTAGGAGGTGAACATTCAGTTGTTTCATCAGAGTTCCATTCTCCCTCATCAGAATTTTCATCAGGGCTTTCCCAAAAATCACCATCCCAATCCTCAGGTGATACTATTAATTTCCACATTTTTTCAGCATTGGGGGCTTTTTATAATATCAGTTCTAATTTTTCTTCCAAGACTTTTGTCTTTTCTTTGAATTCTTTTAGCTGTTTCTTTAATTGGTCATTTTGATAACTGTAAAGACAGTTGTACATATTTTCTGTCTTTTATTTCCTCTCTCAGATTATTAGTTTCTTTTATGATTTGTTCTCTCCATTGCCATGCAGCCTTTAGCATAATCTCACTACATGGCACATGATACCTCCTCCTTTTTTATCTTCCAGTGATACCTCTTTTTATTTAATTCTCTTGTATCCTTTCCCTCTCATACCAATTGCTCACTGACCAAAGATTATCAGTGTCAATGTGTGTCCTGTGCTGCCGTAAATATTCTGTTAAGCCTTTTGTCTCTTTCTCAAAATTATTTGCCATCCTGCTGACTATGTCAATTTGTCACGGGTGGAGTGGGAGTTTCAGACAAAGTTTGTGAGAGAGGCTGTTGTTGAGTCAGGAGGTGCAGAAAGGACCCCCTGCCTTTCTAAAGTCCTTCTCCAGGAGAAGCCTTGGTGTGGCTGGATCCCTCATTGACAATGGTTTAAGTCTAAGGAATTACAAAGGTGTGATTGAACCTTTGTACAACTTTGTCCTGCAGGGATAGGGATGGCAAATATATATTTGTATAAAAATAAATTATCTATTATGATAAAGATTAGACAAAAATGTCTTAATCAGAATCATGAGAATCATGTACTATACAAGATAAAAGCTAAAACTAATAATAGGGTAGAGTAGAACAGAGTGTATTAAAGTAATTCTATTAAAGCTGGAACACACCATGATTATGAAATAGAGACTGATGTCACTCACTCAGACCAACAAGCATGGGCAAATCTCCTTTGCTCACTCTTGAGGAGTGATCTTGAAGGGTGTCCCCACCCCAGGGAGGAATCTCCACACACACTCCAAGAAGGAATATGTTAGAAGAACCTGTTATTTGTAAGGAGCAGGACTTTTAGAGTAAAAAGTGATTGTCAGTCAGATATCTGCAGGCCAGCTGTTCCAGCTTAGCATTTTTAGGTAAGGATAATTCACCATATCTGCCCCATCTTCCTCTTGCTATCAGAATGTTTGACTTTGGGGTCAATGAGTCAGACTGGATTTAGCATAATTAAAGACCAAAAGCAGTGTGACACTCCCTCTCAGTTCACCACTGACAGCTTTGCAAAACTGAGTGTTGTTCGAGTTGTCTTACCCTATTCCAGGCAGAGCATCCTGCTACTCACATTATAAAAACTTATTTTTTATATTAATCTAAACTGATCCTCTTTTCATTTAAGACCATTTCTCCTTATTCTGTGAGCAACTGGGAGATTTCAAAGAGAACCTGACCCCCTCCACAGGAATGGCTTGAAGGTTTGCTGGCTCCTCTGCAGAGCAGAGCTGAACCCAGCAGAGCTGGGACCAGGAACCTGGTGCTGGTGGGAGGTCACTGTGTGAGCTCCACTCTGCAAAAGCAGCTGAGGAAAACATCAAGAAGGTCACACACAGGTGTCTGCTGTCCTGAGGGATTTATCAGGAAAAGTGACCCTGGGACATGGCCAGGACCAGAGCAAAAACCCCTGAGGTGTGGGAGGTAGACCCCCAGGTTCAGAGTCACCTCTCCTGGTTTTCAGCTCTGGGAGATGTTGTGTTTGGTTTGAAAAACTAACACAAATCTGGCAGGGGCCTGCTGAGCTGCTGGAGCCAGGAGGGGAGCTGATGTCACAGTAAAACCAGTTTGCTTTCTTGCTCCCACTACCAGCTCCCCCAGCAGCTGAGGAGGTGCTTTGAGCTGCCTCTTGGCACAATGATGCACAATGGGATAAATTAGATGCTGCCACTGAATGGCCCAGTTTGGAGGTGCCCCAGTCTGGGACAGCAGAGCCACCTCCAAAGCTGTTTGGTGACAAGGAATGACCCACATCTGTAGTCACCTGAAGCCAGTAATGAGCAGGTTGAAGGAGGAGGGGAGCCTGGTGGGACTAGGGCTGGATTGTAGGGTGGAGTGGTGGCATCTGCTGTGAGGTGGGTGCTGTGCCATCTGTTTCCATATTCCTCCTCTCCAGGATGCGGGAAGTGGACCTGGGCTGCGGGAAGGCTCTGCTCATCAAGGAGAGTGGGGAGTTCCACGCCGTGGGACACAAGTGTCCCCACTATGGGGCTCCACTGGTCAAAGGTCAGTCTGCATCCTGTCCTGGAGAGCAACCAAGGGCATCACAGGACAAAGGACAGCCCCCTGACTGTGCTGCCCGGCATGCAGCAGTGCTGCCCTGCACACTCAGCATCTTCTGGCTGGGGAAGGCATGGGAGCAAGCTGGAGTGGCACAAAACTCACCAGAGAACTTTGCCAGCTCTGGTTTGCAGCTGCCACTGCTGATCACAGGGCTGGGGCTTCTTCTCATTGAGGGGAAAGAGGACACTCTTTAAGCTGATGGGATCCTTTCAGTAGCAAAAGGAACATTGCTCATGTTATTGACTGAAGTGAGATGAGGTGGAGTGGTTTCTCATCTTGGCACCTAAAAATATGCATCATGGTACTTTTTCAGCACAGGCTTCAAGCAGGTCTTTGCCCTGAGCCTAAGCACTGGCAGCAGTCTGTGTACTGACGTGCATCACCAAAACTGGGGTTGGGATGGCACTTTGCTGGACGTGGGATCCTGGGAAAGACAGGGGAGCATCCTTCTGAATGTCTTCTGGCCCGTAAGCCTTGCTGGGTGTAGCAGCCATGCTCTCAGCACCCCCACCCTGGGATGAGCCTCTTGCTGAGCAGGGCAGAGGAGCCCCACACTGCCCTGGAGGTGAGAACTCACCGCCCTTTCAGAGACCTGTGGTGCATTCCTCAGACTGGCTGTCACTCAGGGGTCTCTCTGGGGACTTTGCTGCAGCTGTAGGTGCAGGGAGGCTGCCCCTGTGCCCCACCCATGGTGGTGATGAGATCTTGCTTGTGTCTCAGCAAGCAGGGACACAAGCTCAAGACCACTCCATGGCCACATGGTGGTCTTTGCTCTGCCCTGGCATTGTAGCAGGGAAAGCTGAAGTCCAGTGTAGCAGCCTCTGAGCCATCACCTAGAGAAATGAACACGTGGCTTTGGGCAGGCCTGTGCCTCCCAGGTGTGTGCAGGTGTCTTGCTGTGCCAGGGTCTGCTCTGCAACCCATGTACTCTAAATCAATGATGCTGTGCTTGAGGCACCACTTGTTCTGGGTAATAGTGGGGCTTTTAAGAATGACCATGAGACTCTGGGGATGGCAGCCCCATCCTGGCTGGAGAGTGAAGTTATATCCTAGAGCAAACAGCTTTGGAACTGTGCCCAGAGGTACTGGAGGACCCTGCCATCCAGGGCATTTTAGAAGGAATTGCTTGTATAGGATCCCAGCTGGTCCCAAACATGCCCAGTGCGCAATGTTGAGAAAACTCCACTGTTGCCCATCCAGGCCCACATCAGCTGTCACGTGTCCTGTAGGAGAGGTGCCATCTCACAGGATGGGAGGCAGCTGCAGGGCAGCACCAACCCTGCTCTGCCATGTTCCCTGCAGGGGTTTTGTCCAAAGGAAGAGTCCGCTGTCCCTGGCATGGAGCTTGCTTCAATATTGGCACGGGTGACATTGAGGACTTTCCCGGCTTGGATAGTTTACCCAGGTTCCAGGTGAGATCTTTGTCCTTGCAGCAGAGGAAACCACAGAATCATGGGATGGTCTAGGTTGGAAGGGACATTAAGGCCCACCTCATTCCACCTCCTTGGACACCTTCCACTATCACAGGTTGCTCCAAGCAACAACTACAACCTGGCCTGGAACACTTCCAGGGATGGAGTAGCCACAGCTGCTCTGGGCACCCTGTGTCAGGGCTTCCCCACCCTCCCAGGGAACCATTCCTTCCCAATATCCCGTCCATCCCTGCCCTCTGGCAGTGGGAAGCCATTCCCCCTTGTGCTGTCACTGCAGGCCCTTGTCCAAAGTCCTTCTCCTTCTCTCTTGGAGCCCCTTAAGGCCCTGGAAGGGGCTCTGAGCTCTCCCTGGAGCCTTCTCTTCTCCATGTGAACAATCCCAGTCTGCCTCAGGGCTGCTCTCGACTCCTGCATCCCCCAGCCTAGACAGATAAGGCAAATTGCTCACATCTAGGTGCAGCAGCTTGCATTTGCCCTTATTGAAACCTTATAAGAATCCCATGTGGTCACTTCTCCAGCCTGGCCACATTCCTCTGCATGGATCCCTTCCCTCTAGAGCATCAACCATACCATTCAGTTCCGTGTCACCCGCAAAATGACTCTTTTATTTGGCATAAGTAACGGACTGTATGGCATGGAGCAAATACTTTCCAAGGTTGTGCTGGTGTCACCAGTGGAGGGCAGCTCCTCATCCAGCTCCTTCCCCCCTGCAGCTCCCTTGCACCCACCCACAGGCACCAGACACCTCCTGGGAACATGGGAGTGCCCAGTCCGGGAGGTCTCTGCAGTAGGAGTGGGGTGGGAATGAGAAACCATATGTAAGATTTGGGTAGAAGTCAGGTTGCACACCGAGCGTCGGTGTAGGGTTGATCCAAGGCAGGAGATCCCACAGCCTCGAGCTGGGATGAGCTCTGCCATGGCCTGAGCTGCTGCTGCAGGTGACCTGGTGCCATCATCCCTTGCTCCTTAGCTGTTGCCCAGAGGGAGCCCTTGCTGCTCTGCAAACCAGCACTGTTCTGTCACCCTCAGGTGAAGATTGAGAAGGAGAAGGTGTACATCCGAGCAAGCAAGCAGGTGAGCGGCCACTGACATCCAAAAATCAAGGCCACTGCTTTAATTTTTTCCTGTATGTGCATGGGGGTGGGGGGAAATGCTTCTCTTTGATCCTCTGAACTGGGCAGAGTGATGTTTGAGTATCCAGTTTATATGGAGGCACAAGTGGAGCAGGGCAGAGGTGTTGGGTCCCCCTTCCACCCAACCTCCCTGCAGCTGCTGGACGCCTGGCCTGGGCTGTCCATGCTTTCAGATCTTATAGGTGTTTGTCCTGCACTTGTCCTATGTTTCCTTAAGCTCTTAATTTTGCAGGCCCATGGGAAGAGGCCTTTTGGCATGGTGATGACAGAGGCCACTTGTGCTCCCTGCTGAGCCCACACCTCAGCTACTGCTGGAGTGGTAGAAAGGCTCTCCTGCCCTGATGGAATGGAGAATGAAGCCCATTAAGGCCACTGCCATCTCTCTTTCCATGAAAACCCTTCTTTTGATGCATGGTTGTATGTACACATGTGCAAATCCAGTGGCTCAGAGCCCCAGTGGGCCCTTAGAGCACTTGGGTTATATCCAGAGATGTCACCTGAATGGCAGCACTTCAGCTGATTTGGGGATGTGATGAGGGAAAACTGAATCTATTTGCTCTACCAGGAACAGATTTTGTCCTCTCATGCCTGGGAACAGGGCAGCAGGGCTACACTGGCACAGGTCCATGCCTGTGGTCTGGTGGATTGGACAAGTCCATCAACTTTGGATATCAGGTGTACAAGCTCTGCTCAGGTTCAGGATAAAATTCCTGACAGAGTTTCTTCATTTTTGTCTCACTTTTGGTGCAGAATTGCACAAGGACACACCTGCTTTTTCTATTGCCCCACCACTACCCCAGCTCTGAGTAGTTGCATGGCTTGGCAGAAGATGATGGATTTGTTTTTCTTTTGTACCTTTTAAGGGGCAGTGCACTGGACATTGAGATGGTATTTGGATGAGCAGGGGTTTGGAGTCCTTGTTCAGTACAGGGGTGTGGATGTTCCCTTCCTATCCAAGCTGCTTTATGACACTGCTACAGTTGTCCCCATCCCTGCCTGGCTGCCCAGGGTAATGCTGAGTAAAGATAACTGCTTTTCTTCTTTTTTTTGGTGGTGACACAGGCTCTTCAGACACAGAGGAGGACAAAGATGATGGCAAAGTGCATCTCCTTGAGCAACTACAACCTGAGCAGCACCAATGTGCTGATCATTGGTGCAGGTAAGGGTGGCACATGCTGGGGTCACTGTGTGTCCCCTCCCAGGCAGGGATGCAGGGAGGGGGTGTCTGTGTACCCTGCAGCTTCTGTCACCCCTCCTGCATTCCTCCTTGTGCAAAGGGTCACACCAGAAAGTCATCCTGAACTTTTTTGTACTACATGCTAATGATCCAAAGGTGCCCTGTGGTCCAGTCTGTGGAGCTTTACAGTTCCCTGTTGCCATGCTTTGAAGTGAACCCCAAATCCTCTTCCTGCTGTTACATCAGCAACCCCTGATTTTCACAGATGAAATGTGTGGATGATGATGATGAGTGTAAAGCCTTTTCAGGACCCTGTGGTGTTGATACACTTTTTTATCTTGGACCTTGCACATCACCATCTCATCCCATTGCAGCTCCAAAGTCCTCACCTCAAGATGCTTCTGTGAAGATAAAAGTTCTTCCACCTTGCCAGCAAATGTCAGATCCCTGCCAAAAACAACAAAGCTGCCAAATTTTCCCTTCCCTTCCCTTCCCTTCCCTTCCCTCCCCTCCTCTTGTCCCAGCTCTATTTGTGTGCTGCCGTTTTTGTAGAAAGCCTGATGGGGTGAAGTGTATCTACCAAGTTTCTGGAATGGGTTAGATGCCAGGGCTGGGCCATGTTGGGGTGAAATGGAGGGTGGGAGGAGGACAGGAGCTTCTTTTCCTGGGGCTGGGAGGAAATATCTGCTCCTGGCACATGGGTTGTTCTTGAGTCTCAAGGGGACCAGATCCAAGCTGGATATTGGATCATCAAATTGGGATCATCTTAGGTGCATCTCGCAGTCTGAGAAGAGGGGAAAACCAGCTTGACTGGTTTTTTCCATGCTGCTGGGCAACATTTTTCCCTTCCTTGTGCCCTTGCTGATTGTTGACTGAATGCCAGGGTGGGACATACTGCTCCCTGAGGTCAGCTGGAATGTCCTGGTGTGTGGCAGGTCTGGACAGTTATCACAATCCTCAGCAAGGTCACTCCACAGACAACATTAGCCACTGCTAGATAAATTTACAGGTCTGTTAAAGACGAGAGTCTATTCTGGTGGACACCAAAGGAGATTTCAAAGCTGGATTTGGGGGGAAGAAGTGTTGGAAAGACTGCCCATGCAGCCCTGTGTCAGGGACTGAGATCCAACCATGCCCAGCAGAGCTAAAAGCAATTGACTGCAGTCCCTTGCTCATGTGAGGGTCATCCTGACATCAGCACAGCATCAGCTCTGGCTCAGGATGCTCCTGGCAGCATGCACAGGATGTCCACCAGCCTGTCTCTTCTTCCACTGTCCCCCACCTCCATCAGTGGGAGTGTCTCGTTGATGGACCAAACTACATGGTCCAGGTCCATCTTCTCTCGGTGGTGTTACAGAATTTGTGGCCCTAAAAACACTTATCATGGAGTGAGGCTTCCTTGGCTGAGAAGAGACTCCAGACTTCTCACCTGAGCTCTCCAGTCTCACCAGTTCAGTCAGGGAAAAAGGGACGTGCCAGCCATGCTGCCTGGCTGGAGTGGGACAGCATGTCCCAAGGCAGCTTTTTGTTTGATTTAACAAGTTTTTTTCTGTGATTGAAATAAGTGAACAAAAAAAAAAAACCCTTAAAGAAATAGCATGGAAAATGCTCTGCAGTGAATCACACAAACTAAACCTTGGCCATGGAGAAGAGAGGACTTCATACTCTCTGTGCTTGGCCATAAATTCACCAGGAGCAGGGTGTGCAGACCCTTCTCTGACTAGAGGGGTCCAAGGTTCTAAGTGGCTGCTTATGCCCTGGAGTTTGTCAGAGTTTGTAGGCTTTAGCAACACTCCTCAGGTGTGCTCTTTGTGTGCTTGTGACAGTTTAGGGACAGTCAAGAGGATTAATGTCATGGTCCATAGACAGAGCATCCCTTCTGCTGCCTCATGCATCTGCTCCAACTGGCTTCCCATGTGAGCTGTTTGAGTTAGGAGAGGCTGTGAGGTGAAGCCAGGGCTGGTGGAGGTGGTGGTCTTGGAGTCAGCCCCAGTGGGTTTAGCAGTAAAGAGCACAGACCTCCCAGGGCCACATACACACAGCTGTCACTGGTCTCCTTCTCCCTTAGGGGCAGCTGGGCTGGTCTGTGCAGAGACCTTGCGCCAGGAGGGTTTCTCTGACCGGATTGTGATGTGCACCATGGACAGACACTTGCCCTATGACAGACCAAAGCTCAGTAAGGTTTGTATCACTGGGTACGCCACAGTTCCCTAGTTTTAAAATTTGCTCCCCAGTTTTAAAATGTGCTTTACGGCATTTCCCCACTATTATTCATTGCAGCAGCAAGGTTGTGTTTCATTAGTTGTCCTGTCTCTGTTTCCCTTGAATTTTCTTCCCTCTTTGTGACTGAAATATGAAACACAAAAAAGGAGTTGTTCAAACTAAATTAAAATTACTCCAGCAGAAAAACGAAGGTATTCTTCCTTGTGTGGGTGGTGAGGCCCTGGCACAGGGTGCCCAGAGCAGCTGTGGCTGCCTCTGGATCCCTGGCAGTGTCCAAGGCCATGTTGGACAATAGGGCTTGGAGCAGCCTGGTCTAGTGGAAGGTATCCCTGCAAATTGAAATGAGATGAGCCTTTAGTCCCTTGCAACCTAAACCATTCCATGACTCATATGATGATTCTTCCACAGATGTAATGGTAGCTGTCTTAGCCAGCTTGTACTTGGATGGATGTACACTTCTTAAAGTGTTTCTGGATCAAAAATATTTAAGGCAGTGAAATGGAGCATGTGGAAAAATGGTGTTGTCTACCAGAGTTTTTATTAGTGTCTGTTTATTGCTGCCCAGGGATGCTCTGTGCTGTAATTATGGTGATTCTCAGCTGTCATCACAGCTTGATAACTTGATGGAAGTGCAACGGTTGCTTTTTCTGGCACACATCCCATTTTGCATTCCAGTTTATAGACACAGGATGATCTTTAATCTGATTTTTTTGCTGCTGATTCCTGAGCCTTCTTTGATGTCAGACAGCAGCTCAAGTTGAACAGCAGCATTTGACCTTGGAGCCTGAAGATAACATAAGGTGAACTCATCCTTATATCAGGTATGCTTACCCATGGGGAGTACTACAATCATAGCATCTAACTCTTCTTCCAGCACCCAAAAAAGGGATTTTCAAAGACAGGCAAACATGCACATGGCTTTTTGGGAGCATTCAGGTCATTCCTGTGCTTCTGCAAGTCCTGCCTGGGGTGAAGAGCAGCTGCTTGGTACTTGCATCCAAGCATCACAGGGGTTGTGCTGAGGAGCTCAGAGAATCTGAGTGTCCCTCTCCCAGGCAGACAACTCTTCCAAACACTTATCCTCATGTATGAGTCTTAGACTGGCTCTTCATCTCGCTGTTAAGTAGTAAGAACAATTCACATGCCAGAGATGTTGTACATGTTTTGTTAAATCTTCCACTGAACACCTCTGGCTGTAGTTGCTTTTGGAAGGTGCACAAAGCCCATGGAAAAGAAGGCAGAATTTTTGGGAAGAGGGTAGGAAAAATGGAATTTCTCTTAGTCCTATTGTGTGTGGGACTACACCTGTACAAGCCACTGGAGAGGGAGTGCCACTGCTAACTCTGTAAGCAGCAGAGCTCTTGCTCCCTGAAACTGCAGCAGTGTCCTTCCTCTGCCCTGCTGAATGCCTGTTATCAGTCTGCCCTGAGGTCCTGCCAAGCTGTTTTCCTTTGTCTCCTTTGGACCATGACCTGTGCGTTGCCACATCTCTGTTACTGTCCCCAGAGCACTAAACAGCAGCAAAAGCCATGGTGGTTGTGCACTGTTGTGCTTTGCCCTTCCTGCACACTGTCACAGAGGAGTCAGGTATTTCTCTCTGTACATGTGGAGTATTCAAAGAATTTGCAGTAAAACCTGTATGACCCTGCCCCTGCCTGGAGTCCTGTGACACCAGTCTCTCCTGAGCAGAGCATTGTCTGAAGTCAGAGTAACGGCTTGTTCTCGTTGGGCTTGTTCCCGCCCCTGACCAGGCCACCTCCAGGGAGAAGGATCTTGCACATCCATCTCCATGGGCAAATAGGAAAGCCCTTGATTCCTGCATCCCCTGTCACTCCTGGGTCAAGCCCATACACCATCCCTGTGTGGCATGAGTAGATGCTGCTGCTGGGCACTGTGTGATCTATAGCAGGGCTTGACCGTGGCATCTGTGCCTGTTCCTGCTACGCTGCAGGCAGGGAGGGGTGCATCAGTAGGGAGCAGCCTGCACACCCAACAGCTCACTTGATGCTCAGCTTGTTCTCAGCCTGAGTCTGGGCTTGTGTCCACAGAGTCAGGAGGACAGATGTGCTAGGGCTCAACCCTGTGTATAAAGAAAATTTACATCTCACCCCAGTGACCGGGGAAGGCTGGGAAAAGCATGAACTTTATCTTGCAGCTGAAGATGTGCAGCTATGGGCTCCTTGTGTATCCTTGTGTGTTAATGCTGCTTGTTCTTACTGCTCTTCTAGCTTCCATTTGCCCTGTTTTCCAAATAATCATAGAATGGTTCGAGTTGGAAGGGACTTCTAAATGTCATCCTTTGCCACGCCCCTGCTGTGGTTTTTTGTCCTTTTTCTAGACCAGGTTTTGCTCTAGTCCAGCACTTTCAGGGATGTGGCAGCCACAGCTTCCCTGGGCAACCTGTTCCAGGGCCTCACCACCTGTATTGTAAAATGAGGCTTTTCTCTTGCTCCTGTGAACCTGTGTGTGCTGGGAGGGGCTGCAGTTATGTCTGCTTTGCTGACACTCTGAAGCACTTGCTGTCATCTTGCCTGAGCTGCTCAGCACCAGCCCCACACCAAACTGGCAGAGAAGGCACCAGAGCCCAGACCAGCCTCTTGTGACAACTCCTACTTCAACAGGCTTTATTCTAGGCCTGTAGAACCATTCCCTTGACCCATGCAGCAAGTGCTGACTTGTGCTGGTAGCAGCAGTTTCTCTACTCACCTGTTCAATCCACAGCAGCTGACCAAAAAATGGCTTTTTTTGCAGTCAATGGATTCCCACCCTGAGCAGATCACCCTGCGCCCCAAGGAGTTCTTCTGCACCTATGACATCGAAGTCCTGACTGAAATGCAGGTAAGGAGAGTCCTGTGTGTGCCTGGTATGCAAAGGCTCTGTTTAGGGAATGTGGCTGTCTCTGTTCTTGGCTTACTGGATGCCACTGTATGAATACTGGGTCTCCTCCAGCCCCCCTCTTTTCGTCCCAGAGTGTAGGTTGTCTGTGCTTGTTCACAACACAGCTCCTGTGTTCAAACACAATGCTCCTGTGGTAGGAAGGGCATGCTGGGTGTGACCATGGTGTGGCTATCTGTGGTGACCATCATGTGTTACCTGCCATTCCTCATGTGGATCTGGGGAGCCAGGTGCCATTTGATAAAGATAACCAGCCTTCAAACAGTGCAGACAATGATGGCTTAAATATTTCTCCCCATTATTTTATTTATATTGGGACACCTTCAAGGATTTGTGAAAAGGCAGCTCGGAATATTTAAGGTGTGTGTTGGCCAAGCTGTGGACATGGGGGACTAAAACTAACAGACTAACTAAAAGCAACCAACTAACTAACTAAAACTGTCATGGAGGACTAAAACCAGACAAGCTGATTGGGCTGGGACCTCGGTGAAAATCTGGGATTTCTTCCCTTAACGTTATTTAGGAATGATTTTAGGTGGCGGCTGTGGATGTCAAGAGCAAGATAGCTGTGTTCAAGGATGGGTTTAAGATGGAATACAACAAGCTGCTGATAGCAACGGGAAACACGTAAGCTTTGGACAAACATGTTAAAGATCAAGAGAAACTGTTTTATTTGAGAATGTGAGGAGCTAATGCCTGGGGATAAGAGATGAAATGTGGCAGGTGAATTTAAACACTGAATTTGTTTGAGTATGAAAAAGTCAAGAACACAAAAGATATTGGAAATGTCTGTATGTATCTACATCTACATCTACACATCATCATCAATCTATTTCATATATATCTACATCATGTATTATAGAATCACAGAATCACAGGATGGTTTGTGTTGGAAGGGATTTTAAAATTCATCCAGACCCACCCCTGCTGTGGACAGGGAACACTTTCCACTAGACCAAGTTGCCCCAAGGCCCATCTAACCTGGCCTTGGACACTTCCAGGGGTGGTACCAGCACCTTGAACATATTTTCTTTAAAAAAAGCTGCAAAGTGGAAGTATCCTAATTCTTTTAGCAGGCATTTTTGCCACATTTATCTTCTTTTCACCCTTGATAACACTCAACCCTGACAACCAGATAATTCATCCCTCTGAATGTCCATATTTCATTTTCTGCCAACCTTTAAGATCTTTTTCAGCAATTAAGGCTTAACACTTTGCAGTTGCAGCCTTAATTAGGTATTGCTGTTGCCCCATTCTAACAGACCCTTTAGGAGCTTTGGCCCCAGAATAGGAATTTTCAGGACTGAACTTGGTCCAGCCATAGGGAAAGGTGGTATTGATGTGTTGGGATGCCGAGCATCACTCCAGATTGCTGTTGTCACTTGTGCCCCTGAAGTAGTGGATCAGTTTGTTTTCGATTGGAGGTTTGTCAAAATCAGCAGTTTAAGCTGAAAATGAGGCATCCTGGCTCTCCTTCCTTGTGTTCCTTACATCAAGCCATAAAATGAAGCAGGAGAAATGCAGCCCCTGCATAATTTATCATCTGGGGAAGGAATGCTGTAGATCAGCCAAAACAGGGACTCATGCTGGAAACCAAAGTGTCATATCCAGTGCCACAAGGTGTGAATAGCTGGTGCTAGGATGTACAGAATCACAGCCAAAATGCCATATGCACCAGCCACCCAATTACATCAAAAGAGGATTAAACCTTTGGCAATAATTTCAAAATCCTCATGCACAAGCTCCAGGTACACTGGGTTTTTTAGGGTACCTAAATTATTTTTGTCCTGTTTCCAGATGTGAGTCAGGTTTGCAGGGGCCAGATATTTAAAAATATATGGGCTACAGTAAGTGCCTGGGGAGGGCACAGTTAAGCTGCTACAGCATCAGCAGTGTGCCCTTGGGAATGGAGAGTGTAGCCTACATCTGCAGAGCCTTATCAAACTTTCAATATCTGGCTCCAAAGTACTGATGGAGGTCAGAGTGAGTTTCCTGTGTCCCATTAAGCTTCTAAAAAATTTGTGATGTGCCAATAATTAAGCATAGGCTTGTAAAGCAATGCCTGTCCTGTGCTGGCTGCACTGCCCCAGCAAGAAGCTCCCCTGGACCTGTGGGTACACCAGTCCACTGTGGGGTCTGGGGTGGCTGCTCAGCATCCCCTGCTCCACTACTGGCCACCAGCATCTGGGTTTTTCCATGTTATGTCTCCAGCCCAGAGAAAGGTAAAAAAAGGAAAATTGGGAATGTTCTTGGAGCCCTGGAAGGAATGTCTGCAGTCCTGACTGGGCACTGAACCACACAGAGTTGAGAAAAGCAGCTGTATCACCCTCAGTGTTTTTCAGGCCCAAAACTCTCAGCTGCAAAGGCAAGGAGATGGAAAATGTTTTCAACATCCGGACACCTGAAGATGCTAATCGTGTGGTGAAGCTGGCCACAAGCAAGAATGTGGTGATCGTGGGAGCATCCTTCCTGGGTGAGTGCTTGCCTGGCCTGTGTCCCTGTCCCAGCTCTCCACCTCTGCCTGCAGATGGGTAAAGTCCTTTGCCCAGTTACAGGTAACACCCCCATGAAATTGGACCTGGGGTAGTCCAACCTCCAGCCCCAGGTGTGTGCAAGGACATTTCCATGCCACAGCAATTGATTTTTTAAAAGGCTGGGCTGGCATGGGCATAGATATTGCTGTCCCAGTCTGAAAAGCACATGGCAGGACAAGTAGTAGTGCTCATGTGGGTCCAAATCTGGTGTGTCTAGAGTTGGCTTCAGTCAGGAGAGCCTTGTTGGTGGGTGGGAGCCTGTGGGCTTTTTCTCTTTTACATTTTAGTAGTGTGGTGAATTTTTAAAATGCACAGGAAAAATCTTGTTTCTTTGATGGCTCTTCTTTTTGCTTGATATGGTTCCAACAAAATTATTGTGGGTCCTAACAAAATAAGAGTGGGTCCTGCAAGCCTTTAATATAAATGGTTATTAGTCAGGGAATTAATTGTAAGATATTAATGATTTGTTTTTCTTCTTTTATAAAAGATAAATCTGTTTTAATGGTTGAATCAATATGATCTACAGAAAAGCGTGTGATGTGGGGGGGCCAATTGCAAACTGCAGGTCATCAAAAATATTCATTTCCAAAAAACCCCCACAGACAGAAGATGTCTTGGTGGAGGTTCCCGTGCAATTCCCAGCACCAAAATTCTACCATTCGGATGGGAGAAAGCAGCTACTCCCAAGAGCAGTTTTCAGAGCACAGCTGAGGTTGTTCCAGCTGTAGGAGGAAGGTTTCCCATGGCTGAGGTCCCTTGTTCCATGTTTTTCCCAGGGCACTTTGGGATTTCCTGGCTAGTTCCTCCCTTTGGTCTTTAAAACCTACATCTAAGAACCTGAATCAGTGTGACCCCTGGTGTGATCAGGTCTGGTGCCTCCCCAGTTCTCCCAGGAGTGCAGCTCCAGCCTCACCCAGTGGATGAGGCTGCTCCTCATCTGCAGCCAGGGACACAGGGCAGTGCTGGGTGGGTTAACGTGGCTGCTTGGACCTGCTTCTCTTCCCCAGGGATGGAGGTGGCCGCCTACCTCGCGGAGAGGGCCCACTCGGTGTCCCTGGTGGAGCTGGAGCATGTCCCCTTCAAGAAGTTCTTTGGGGAGAGGGTTGGCCGTGCTGTCATGAAGGTGACCTTGCTTTCCATCTAGTGGGGGTTGGTAACAGAGCAGGTTTTGCTTGTTTCACTTATTGCACTAATTAATTTACTTCACATTTATTGACAAAGCTGTGATTGCAGCAGTCAGTGAGAATGGGCTGTATTTTCCCTGTCATGGTCCATGTGCTATGGAGCACCTTCCAGAGCTGTGTTGGGGATGTGGGGATGCTGACCCCCTTAGCAGTGCAGGTTGAGACAAGCCTGCAGGGTGGGCAAGGCAGTGTAGGGGGCAGCAGGACATCAGGATCAGGGTGGTTCAGGGTCCTGATGCCCCCTGCTCTGTCCCTTGTCTCCTGTCCAGATGTTTGAGAACAACAGGGTGAAGTTCTACATGCAGACCGAGGTGTCAGAGCTGCGGGAGCAGGAGGGAAAGGTGAGTGGTGGGCAGGGGCTCCCTGGGGGAGCTGCTGTGGCATCCCCCAGAGCTGCTATTCCCTTCCCTAGTGGGGTTTTCTCTCCCCTCTTTCCTATCCCCTAAATTCATGTTCAAATGTATGCCAGTGTGGCGTGTGGGGTGACTTCATTGCTCCCACTCACCTCCCGCTGCTTTTCTAAGGAATTATGGTCAATTTGCATTTCACAAACGAGGTGAGCTGCCAGCTTGGCTTCCTCCTGCTACAGAGGGGCTTTGTCCCTAAAATAACTGTGATGTCTCCTGCAGCTGAAGGAGGTTGTGCTGAAGAGCGGGAAGGTCCTGCGTGCTGACGTCTGTGTCGTGGGTGTTGGTAAGGGTTGTGTGGGGGCAGAGCCATGGAGGGAAGGCAGAGAAGAAGTTGGAGGGGACGTGACAGCAGGAGGTCACTGGGGCTGGGTGGCCAGGGGTACTGGCAGTGGTCTGCCAGCCCTGCTGGACTACCACACATGAGTCTGCATATCTAAAAAAGGCATTTCTAGAGCTCCCACCCAAAATGCAACTGAAAATATATTTCAGAAGTAATACTTTTTTTTTCCAGAAAAAAAAAAACATTTAAAGCAGTTTCATCCTCTCTAGCTTTTTATTAAATCTTCCCCAAAATGAATTTTTAATGTCTTTTTTTTCTTTTTAATTGCTGCTGACAGCAATCAAAAATATATCTCATACTATAAAATAAAAGGAAATATCCCATAGAATATTATATATTTCTCCTTTACACTTGGGTGGGGGGAATTCCCTTTCCTTTCCTCTTCAAAACGCTGTGGACTGAAGGAATCACAGAATTAATTTAATTCTGGTTTTGTTGTTTTTATTGACTACTCTGAATTGTGAAAAGGCTAAAAAAAAATTAAAAAGGAAAAGGAAGGTGAAGGAAATGCACAGGCTGGGGGGAGGATGAAGAGCCCTGGCTGGAAGCTCAAAGGTTCCCTTTTAAATATAATTTTTTCAAAATATCCGTAAAAAAGAATTAAATTGAAAATTATCTCTAAGCACTAGAAAAGAGCAGTGGGCAGGTTACAGTGATGGCTTGGGCAGGACAGAGATCCTGAGGGACCAGAGGCTGATGCAGTGGGGGCTCTGTAGGGTACCTGGCCCTGCTCCACACTCCCAGAGCAGCTGCTGCCTGTCCCTGGGGGCAGCCCCCATGTCCTGGCAGGAGGAAAGGCCTCAGGATCAGCCCCCAGGGCTGTGGAACACTGGACACTGCAGTAGCAGCCTTTGGCTTCCCCCCAGGTGCAGTCCCAGCGACAGGCTTCCTCAAGCAGAGTGGCATCAACATTGACTCCAAGGGCTTCATCGTGGTCAACAAGGTGAGCCCAGGGGCAGCCCCTGTAGGAGGGAGAGCACGAGGAGCTGGGCCAGCTCTTCTGATCTATGAGCTTCCCTGGGGCTCCAAACTGCTGCCACAGGGGCTTTTCATGGCATTTTATCTGCCAAGATTGACAGAATTGGAATTTTTTAATTCTTTGGGTTGGCCTGTGCAGGGCCCGGAATTGAACTCGATGACCCTTGTGGTTGCCTTTCATCTCAGGATATTCTGTGAGATGGTGAAATTCTGGAAGCATCACCAGGAGTGCCTGGGAACCCCCTCTGCTAGTCGGGGTGTGCAAACCCCAGACCTGGATGCTCTGGCTTGGGTCTGGCTCTGAGCTGTTCTGGAGTGGTATGGATACTTAGAGGGGAAAAAATTGAGATAGATCCATCTTTTCAAGGATCCTAAAGGATCTCATCCTTTCTCCCCACCACCAGTGACTGTGATGGGGGGAGTGGTGTTGGAGCCTTGGGCAAAGGAGCATGTCAGGAGGCTGGGGCTCAGTGCCATGCAGTGCTCATCCCTGCAATAAGCTGGGCTCTGTCAGCCAACACCAACAAACCCCAGACTTCTGAGAGAGGCTCCAGGACAACCAGTTCATGTGTCTTTTTACTGGATAACCCACTGGCTGAGGGATTCTGAAGGTCCATGCATGTGTGTTCTCATTTGGAAGTGAAGAAGGCTGAATGAAATCTCCCCTGGGGGTCCCACAGCCAAGCAGAGGTTTTCCCTGTGTTCTGAGGGACCGTGGCAGCTGTGGACCACTCCAGTTGTGGAGTTTCTGTTCATTTAGGGTGCAAACCCCACTAATGCCCACCTCTTCCCCCCTGCAGATGATGCAGACCAACATTCCAGGCGTCTTTGCTGCTGGAGATGCTGTCACATTTCCATTGGCCTTGAGGAATAACAAGAAGGTGAATGTCCCCCACTGGCAGATGGCCCACATGCATGGTAGGTACTTTGCAGAAAAGAGCCTTTACCAGATTCTCAGGAAATTTCCAAACCCTCCAGGGCAAGAATGAGACAACGGTCAACAGAGAGACTGCGTGGTTGTATGGAACGTTTTGAAGCATGTGTATCTTATGCTGCCTGTTGTGCCTTCAGCTGTCAGCATTCTTGCCAAGCGTTGCCTAACAGTGCCTCATCACCAGCACAGAGGGGCCCAGGGACAGGCTTTCCCATGTTCCCTTTGCTCCCTGGCACTGCTGCAGGAGCCTGCTCTACTTCTTGCCCTAGGACACTTAGGAGCTCACATCCTAAGCTCAGGTTCCAAGCCTGGGCTCAGGTTCCAGCTGGGCTTCCCACACTGCCAGGCTGGCCTGGGAGTGTTCAGCAGAGCTCCCTTCTCACCTCTCATCAGCCTGGAACCCCTGGTGTGATGGCTGCCCTCATGGCCACAGTCACACAGGGAGGTTTCCTGTGTGCTGGGTGAGAGGTTTTGGAACCACAGCTCCAAACTCAGCCTTTGGACACCTCTCCCATGTCCAGATATGCTTCTGCAGCAGGGACTGTACCTCAACAGTCTCCATGCCCTCCAAGGGTTTGTCCATCCCATCCCATCTGGGTAGGAGCTCAGCACACTCTCAAGCCTGTCACTATTGCACAAGTTGGGGGGAAAGAGTCTCATGGGTACATGGCTCATGGCAGTGGAGGTGACAAGTAGGAGATGCACCATAGGAAGGAGTCGGAGACCATCCTTTTGTGCTTCCTGCTTTGTCTTGGTTGCTGTGTGGGTTTTCTCAGCAGCAGTTCTTGGTATCCCCATACTCTGTGACTGCTGGTGTTGATGCTGTGACCTGAGTGCAGAGCACGGAGCTTGCCCTGGAGTGGCAGTTCCCCCATCCCTGTGCTCTCTTGCAGGCCGCATCGCCGCTCTGAACATGCTGGCCCACGGCACGGAGATCAGCACTGTCCCATACCTGTGGACAGCTATGTTCGGGAAGAGCATCCGATATGCAGGTAAGGGGCTCCCTGGGCTGCTGAGAGTTTGTGCTGGTGGAGGTGTCTTGGGAGAGAGAAGCCAGGGTCACCTCCTTCATGTGAACCCTCCCCACCGACCTCTGCCACAGGGCTGCTTCCCTGCCTGGCTCCCGAGGGGGTTCAGTGTCTCCTCTGAAACCCATCTGCCATGAAGTGCACATCCTTAACAGGATGGAGGATTCACTTAAATTAGATATTGGGAAGTAATTCTTCCCTGTGAGGGTCATGAGTGCCTGGCACAGGTTGCCCAGAGAAGCTGTGGCTGCCTCATCTGTGCAAGTGTTTAAGGTCAGGTTGGACAGAGCTTGGAGCAACCTGGGATAGTGGAAGGTGTTCCTGCCCATGGTAGAGAGTGGGAACAAGGTGTTTTTCAAGGCTTCTTGCAACCCAAAACTCTCCTGTGATTCTGTGGGTTTTGGTACCTGCATCTCCTGGTGCTGTTCTCTTGGTTACTGCAGGACATTCTCCTTGTAGTGCTGGCATGAAACATCCTATCTTAGAGCTGGATCTGGAGGAATTGCTGCTGATTTCACTTCTTCTTTGCCTTCCAGGCCATGGGGAAGGATTCGATGATGTTGTCATTCAGGGAGATTTAGATGAACTGAAGTTTGTGGCATTCTATACCAAGTAAGTGTTTCTCTTGTCCATATTCCTACACAGGCATTCATCTGAGATTACTCTGCTAGGCTGGAAAATAATTCTGCCAGAGCTTCTGTCAGTCAGTTTTGTTCATCTATGCACAATGAGTTTGTGGAACACATATACAAGGCCCTGGAGAAATGATGTTCTGATTGTACAAGTTAAACTGGTCTTTGGACCCGGTGTCTCTGCTCTTTGCCCTCATGATTGCTGTGAGCAGATGATGGCTTCTACTGCCAATTCCTATCAAATACTGCCTTCCCATCTAATCACCATGTTAATGATTTGTGACCAGTGCTGGACAGAGTGCTCAAGCATCACTGTTTCTGCTTTTGGTTTGACAAATTGAGCTCAAAAACCTCTTCTGCCTATCACAAGCTGTGAAGGTTTGAAGGAACACGGGAGCTTTTTTCCATCTATAGTGAAACCCAGCTCTCCCCCAGGTTGGGACCCTTCCTGGGAATGCATTTTTGAGATGTGTTGGCAGCTGGGATGTGTTGCCTCAGCTGTTCTGGAGCCATGCTGGCTGTTTAGACTGGAAAGTCAGTGCACCATGAATTTATCCCAAAAATATTTGCTGCTGTTTATTCTTCTGTTTCCTTTGTCCATCCCAGTCTGAAACCGGTGGCCACAGAACATCCTCATGCTGGAACCAGAGGGATTTCTCCAAGTGCTTTCTGATATTAATGATAGGGAGAGGGAAACCAGGGAAGCAAAGGGCTGCCCAGCTCAGCTGTCAAATCACTTGGTAGCAGCATCCAGGCAGGGATCAGGAGGGAGTTCAGGACAGGAGCCAGCTCCAGCTCTGCAGACATCATCTCACTGTCCCTCTGTCCCATCTCCAATGTACCCCATGCCTTCTCCCTCCCTGAGGGTGGCCCACTTGCCCATGTCGCTCAGAATGGAGCCTGGCGGTTGGACGTGTGCATTGGGCTTGAGGAGGTATGGGGCTCACTGCATCACCCTGGGGAGTGCTCACCCTCCTCTCCCTGGTACCTGCACACCTTGGGTAAACACCTGCTGCAGGGATGGAGCTCCAGCTGGCACCCAGGGGCCTTTGCACACTAGATACAGCTCAGAGTGTGCTGGAACCTTGGTCAAAATTACCTAAAGGGGTGGGTTTGTGCCAAGGCACCACCTGTGCTGGGGAGAGCTGCTGTGGGGATGTTCCCCTCCTGCAGCCTTTCGACATGAGAGCCTTTTATCTCTTTATCCCACCCCTAATTTGAAAGGAAACATCAGGTTACTTTAATTAAACATCTGAGGAGGCTGTTCAAAGGGAACACCCTGAGCAAGGTGCATAATCCCTGCTCCATGCCAGGGCCCCATGCTCCGTGTGCCATGGTGGCTGCAAGGGACAGGGGCTGCCAGGGGATCTGGGCTTGCTGGGCAGACCTGGAGGTCCCTGCTGAGCGCTGTGTTATTCTGCCACCCAGGAGGGTCTCCCGGAGCTGGCGTGTGGGTACCAGGACGGCATGCCATGCTGAGAGCCGGAGGTACTGGGAAGCACTGGCTGCTGGGGGTCAGCCAGTGTGTCCCCCACTGCTTGGCTCCCTGTCTGTGAGAGGCAGAGCTGGAGCATTTCTTTCTTTTTTGGTGGTGGTTCTTCTAGTTGGTGCTAAAGCTTTTGGACTGAGGACAGTCCCAGGCTGACCATTTCCTCCTGCTTTCTTCTGCTGTGCCCACACTGTGTTTGGACTCTTCTCCTCCTCCTGGTCCTCCTTAGTAGTTGCAGGAACCACTGGTGGTTTCCACTCCTACAGCCTGTCCTCAGCACTGGCTTTCACAATAAGGCTTCTTCTGCCCCAGAGTTTGAAGAGGAAAGGAGTCTTGTCAGAGCTATGCAGAGGCCAATAAAAGGCCCTGTGCTGGGAGGTGTAGGGGACAGCACTCTGCAGATGTCCCTGCCTTGACAACAGACTGATGTCCTCCTGCCCCTAAGACCTTGGAGACCAGGGAATTGCTGTGGTTATCTTCTTCACAGTTCCCCACCTCTGTTACGTTGAACGCTGCAGAGGAAGGGAAGACCATGTAGACACATCCCCTGTGCTTCCCTCTTCAATCAATCTTCACAAAGACTTCTGATTGCTCCAAATCCCAGGTTCAGGATGGGAGTTCTTGTTACCTTTGAAGACCTTTTTGAAAAAGGGATTCCTCCTGGCTTCCCCCATCTGTCTGACAAAGTATTCAAAAGCCACTGCTGATGCTGGGTGCTCCAGCTCACCAGCACCCCATGAACCATTTTGCAAAAGGAGTAGCTACCCTATGTCCTGCTGACAGAAATGTTTGGGCTGCATCTGCCTTCCTGGCTGGCTCCTTTGGGCACTGTCTGGGTTTGAGGCTGAGCCAGAGGGCAGCTGGTGGTAGTGCATCTGGTTCCCTTGCACACCTTGGTTATTCATTGCTTGGAACAGCACATCTCCCCCAGGTTTTGATGGGTAGGTCTCTCCAACCACTTTGTGTTTCCCAGTTTGGAGCTGGCTCTGCTCAGGAAACTGCTCTTCTTTATTTGCCATGGGCCTATTTAGGAATGGGAGTTTTTTTAAACAGTCTGTGATGGAGCTGCCCCATGGTTTTGTAGACAGTTGTGAGAGATACCTTTAACTCTCATGGCTGCACAGGGCTGAAGTGTCCTCTGAAACATGGCTTTGCTCTCCTTGTCCTGGGAATTAGGCACATATCCCTCCCCACCCCACCTCAGCTGCTCTTTGCTCTGTTGATCCCAGAGTTCTTTGGCAGTCAATTTAAGAGCAGATCTTGGTTTAGTGGGTGCTTCTACTTTTCAGTTTATTCAACAACATCACCAGAGTTTAAAATCTTACCCACACATCTTCCCTGATTTCACATTGTGCATTCAGTTATCTCTTCATGGGTCAGGCTTTGAAGGTTTACACTTGGATTGACCTTGGCAAACCCCAAACAAGAACCCACCTTCTCGTTTGCTTATGACCTTTAGCCAAAGCTCCTCCAGCAGTTTTATGTCCTCTTCCTTCTCCTTCATTTGTTTTCCTCTCAACCTTTGAGGCTGCATTGGGATCCTGCTAGGGGAACAGCCAGCCAATCTGGACATCCTATATACATGAGGACTTCCTTGCTGGGGCTGAGGACCCAGGGGTTGGACACTCCAGCTGTCCCAGTGGCCGTGGAGCAGCTCAGAGCGGGGCACTCTGCTTGTTCAGAGGTGGGGATCAGGAAGGGGATGTGGAACATCCCAACTGACTGTTCCACAGGGAAATCCTGACCACCCCTCCACTCCCTCAGCACAGGGCAGCAGCACAGGGATAACAGCTGGGCATCCTTCCTGTTGTCCAGGTTTTTATCCACCATCAGATCTACCACTGGTGGTGTTTTCCCACAGATGCCAGGGTGCCAGAGCTGTCTCCATCACCCAGGCACCCTAGTTGATGCTCATGACATCACCTCCAACATTGGTAGGACCAGTGGGGCCTGCTGTGCCACTCTGTACCCTCTCCTGACCCTTATTCCAGCCATCTTGTTCCAGTCCCTGTGGTGCTTATGCCTTGGGATCAGGCCTGGCTCTGGAGTGGTGTTCCTCTTTGCCTCCCTCCTCTCTCCATCATGGTGGGTTTTGGGTGGTGGAGCTGTGGCCATCCAGGCTGTCCTAACTGCTCTGCTCTGCCCGGCCCTAGGAGTGACGAGGTGGTGGCTGTGGCCAGCATGAACTACGACCCAATTGTTTCCAAGGTGGCTGAGGTCCTGGCTGCTGGCAGGACCATCCGGAAGCGTGATGTAGAGTAAGTAGACAGGCAGTGGGAAGTGGCAGTGCCAGGCCAGGGGCTAAGCACAACCATGGGGTGCTGGGCAGAGCTGAGCCTTTCACACTGATCCATCTCCATACCACTCTTGCATCTCCCTTCCTGTTCCTGCTTCCTCCCTGTGCTACTTCCCAGCTGCCTCCAGATCTGGCATCCCCCACATATAGGGTTTGTCTTAAACACCAGGACCCAAATCCTTGCACAGAGAGGATGGGATGGGGATACTCTCTGCTTTTGGGCACTGGCACTTCATCAAGGAAGCAATGCCTGATGCTGGGGCACACCTGGGCACCCAGTCAGTCAAGGAGACCTGCAGAGAGGGACTGGGTGTGTAGCCTGTGCATAACCCCCTATGCACAACCCAGCCCAAAGAGCTGGTGTTACCAGGATGCTGGCCTGTGGTGTCTCAGCCTCTGATTCCTTGGAGCAGAGCTCATAGGCAAAGGGCATTTTTCTCCCTTCACTTTGTTTTTAAGACCATACAGAGGACAGAGCATAACTTTTTGGTGAGGGTAGGTGCTGGAAGGCAAATGCCAGGGAGGTGATAACAGCCAGGAAGAGGCCTTTAGAGTGGGAATCAGAGCTGCTGAGGAAATGTGGGTCTCTGTTCCAGGGATATTTATCTGGAATAAAAGCAGATCTTTTCAAAAGCTCAGGGAGAGGAGCACTCCCAACCCCCAGGAAGTTTTGTCTCTCAGACTCCCTGGGAATCCCTGGGATGGGAAGCATGTCGTGGGTCCCCTCACCTGAAACAGGGTTCATAAAATGACAGAATAGTTTGGGTTGGAAGGGACCTTAAAGTCCATCCAATTCCACCCCCTGCCCCCTTCCCTCCCACTATCCCAGATTGCTCCAAGCCCATCCAACCTGGCCTTGGACACTTCCAGGGATCTCTGGGCAGCCAGAGATCCTCTGGGCAGCCTGTGCCAGGGTCTCACCAACCTCAAAGGGAAGAATTTTTTTGTGCCATCACCCCAGTACATTGGAAAATGGTTGCTCATGTCCCACTTTGTGGCTGGGAGGGAGGGGTATCTTGTGGGCATCCCAGGGGTGGGGAGGAGCTGCTGGCCCTGTGGTGGGGCTCAGGGGCTGGAGGAAGCCAGATTAAACCTGAATGTCTTTTCTCTCTTTGTCTCCCGCTGCTTTCACAACTTTAGGCTGTTTGTCCGTCATGGCAAGTACGTTCGGTTTGGGGTCTGAGTGTGCTGGATGTGAGGGGCTGGCAGCAGGGACAGCTGCACCCCTGACTGGGCCATATCCCTAATTCCCATGTGGGGACACTGGTTACGGCGGGGGGATGTCTTTATTTTGCATCCCCCTCACATGGGGGGCAATGCTGGTTGATAGAGCTGGGGCTGCCAGGAGCCACATCAGGCACAGATCCTGTTGGTTGGGACCTTGCTTGGCTGGGGTTTAGTGGCTTTCCATGGATTTTCAGCTGAAGGGCAGCTTTTAAGTATAAATAAATAAAATGTTTGAACTCAGTTTTACACAGAATTGAGGACCTGCAGGTGACTTTTTGGACAGTTTAGTGACAGGTGAGTGAGGGCAAAGGAGGCAGCTGATTGCTGGGGTGGACACCAAGTACTGGACTAGCACCAAGCACACCAAGAGCATTTGCCTGTGCACATTGAGAAACCCCTCACAGCACTGTGGTTTTTCTCTCTTTTAGAACTGGAGACATGTCCTGGCTAACAGGGAAAGGCACCTAAAGCCACAGATGGCTGAGCTCTCCTGATCCTGCACTCGCCGTGGGGAGATGGGACAGCAGCTCCATGGCCTGGTGGGAACCCCATGGCTCAGCCATTTCCCTTTGAGACCTCGATAAACCTGGCATTGTGACCTTCCAGGAGGATCTCACACAGCTCCTCTGCCCCTGTGCCTGCTGGGCTGGGACTGGGGCTCTGCTGTTGCAATTGCTCTGGCATGCTGGAAAAGCAGTCCACAGAGAGCGTGAGGTTTGGCACTGGCAGCGGGCATGGGTGCCATAGGGCTGAGGGTCCCCAGGCGGGTCTGCCCCACGCATGTCCCTCACTCCCATAAGCAGCACGAGTGCCTTTGGTTGTCCTGTGCTTTCATGCATGAAGCTCCTTTCCAAATGCTCTTCACTCCCAGCAGAGCTCCAACGTCCATCCCTGCAGACCCTGACATCTGCTCCTTTCCTGCATGGCTGCAGTGTTTGCCACAGCCCCCACCCTGGGGGGCACCTGGGCGGGCCAGATTACCCTGGGTGACTTCTGTGCAGCTGGTGCAGTGTTGTCCAGGCTGGTCCTGTGCAGCCCCACCAGTAGAGGTGGGTCCCTGTCCATGCTGAGGGCTCTGGAGCTCATCAGTCCCCATCCCAGCATCTCCTGTCCTGGAGCAGCCAAGGGGCTGGGATTCCTTCCCTGTCTCCTGGGGCTTGGTTTGGGCCAGGGCACTGGCAGCTCTTGGGCCCATTCCTGGGGTGCATTGCAGGGATACCTGAGAGCTGTGATGGCTCAGCTACAGCCCTGGGCTGGGTGGCCACCCTTCCAGCCAGCCTTGGGATATCTCTCCTTGATGCTATCATGGGATCAGTGCTGTTGCTGAGGTGTTATTCAAGGAAAAGTAGCTGGGGGGGCATTTCTGGCTGTCCATACTCTGGCACTTGTCCAGTGTAGTGACAAAGCTGCATTTCCCAGCCCACCATGCTCGTGCTCTGCTCTCCTGTTTCCAGCCCCATGCTGAAGAAGAGCCATGTCTCCAGCTCAGGAGTGGGCCTGGCCAGCCACAGCCCATCAGCCCAGCAGAGTGGGGGTTGGGGGTCCCCACTGGAGAGACTCCAGTGCTTTGTTCTGGGGGAGACTCCTTCCCCAGCAGTCAATGTTTTACCCTGAGTCCCAAACAAGAGGATTTATATTTTTAATTTGATTCAGCCCCTGTGAATTAAAGCAATACTATTCTTGGCGTCTGGGTCATTTCTGATTTCTTCCAAGACCTTGGGTCACCTCTCCATGTTGGCCAGGTTGTTCAAGAACCTCTTTGCTGGAGACTTCCCACCTGTGTCCAGCTCACCTGTATTTCCAGTATTTCAGATCTTGGCTTGGTAGAAATGCACCAGTGTCTATCACACCTCTGGCTGGTCTCTCCTGGTTTCACTACAGAGCTTTTCCCAGATGGAATGACCAGGAGGGATGGTAGCAGGATGTGCACACTCGAGCACACAGGGAACTTGCAAGTCTCATCTCAGGTTCGAAAAGACAAATGTCAGTGTTCCTGTCCACAGGTCATCCTCTGAGGGCAGGGGTGGCTGGGGCTGTTCAGCTCCTGGTGCCCCAGGCAGGGCTCTTCCAGAGTGGCCTGGGGCTGTGGGCACAGCCCAGGTGGAGGCAGCTGCCCAGGTGCTGCCTCAGCTCTGCCACTACCCACAAAGACCTGGGTTTGTATCTCGTGTCCTGCTGGTAGGATAGTTGGACACAGCTTTGGTAGCTCCCCAGGGGACCCAGCTGGAGTGCCAGGGGACTCTGGGGCACCACAGGGTGGCATTCCCTGCGGCTGTGTGTTTTCCCCAAGCTCTCTGTCCTATTCTCCATGCTGGCTGAGACTGGCAGCTCCCTCCGCACAACTTTGCTACGCTGGGGACATAGTGGCAGAGTGCTTTGTTTTTCAGGAAGATGCTTTTTGACCTCCTTTGCCTCTGATCGGGCCTCATCCAGTATTGTGCATGAGCTGCATAAAACGGGCATCACCCCCATGGTCACAGGGCCGAAGACCATTCAGGGGCTGAGGAAGGACCTTCTGTCCCAGTCTACGGCTGCAGTGGGGGTAACGAGTCCCATTCCCTGCTTTTTACAGAGGAGTTGTTTCAACCAGGGCTGGTAATGTCACCCATGACATGAGAAATCCCAGTCACCACTGTAACTTTCCTTGGGACATGTGTCAGGTCATGGGCAGGGCTGGCTCAGATGGGTATTGCTCCTCTGCACAGGTGTGGGGTGGTGTTGAACCTGAGACCCCTTATCCAGTGCCTTGGCAAATGCTTCCCAGTGGCGAGTCAGTCCTGGAACTGGGCAAGGCTGGGTTGTGTTCTCTGCTACTTTTCCAAGCTCATCACCTCTCATGCCAGGACAGAAAGTTTCCATCTCTTCTTAAGAAACTGCCTGTTCCCATGAGGAATGAAAGCCCAGCTGGGGCACATGCAGTTACCCCCAGCTGCACTGGCCCATGTCAGTTACCTCCAGCAGACTGCCCAGGTATCATGGTCGCTCACCTTGCCTGCCCATGCAGACTTGATGCCCCAGATCCTGAGCTCTCCACCAGCTCCTGCTCCTCAGATTCTGGGCTGTGCCTGTCACCCTGCCCACATCTCACCTGTGTGCTGGCAGGACTTGGGGGACAGCTGGGGCTTTGCCTTTGCCCCATGCAGGTGAGACCCCATCTGGAGAACTGCATTCAGCTCTAGGGTCCCAGCACAGGAAGGACCTGGAGCTGCTGGAATGAGTCCAGAGGAGGCCAAAGGGATCCTCTGAAGGCTGGAGCCCCTCTGTTCTGGAGCCAGGCCAGGAAAGCTAAGGGTGTTCACTTGGAGAGGAGAAGGCTCCAGGGAGACCTCAAAGTCCCTTTCAGGGCCTAAAGGGGCTCCAAAAGAGCTGGAGAGGGACTGGGGACAAGGGATGGAGGGACAGGACACAGGCAGGTTGGGATATTGGGAAGAAGATGGTATATAGTGAATAAATTCTTCCCTGGGAGGGTGGGCAGGCCTTGGCACAGGGTGTCCAGAGAATGCCCCTGGATCCCTGGATGTGTCCAAGGCCAGGATGATTGGGGCTTGGAGCACCCTGGGATAGTGGAAAATGTCCTTGCCCATGGCAGGGGGTGGGATGAGATGAGCTTTGAGGTCTCTTCCAACCCAAACATTGTGTAATCCTACGACTTCAGCCAGTCAGGTGCTGATTTAACCATGCCTTCAGCCCCAGATGGTTTGGTTTTGGCAGCATATGGCAGTGAGCTCTGCAATTTCATTTTAGCTTTATCCAGGATAAGAATCATCTCTTTCTTTGGTTTCTTGTGTTCCTTGACCCTAAGTTCCTGGCCCTTAAGGACCTCATTTACAGCACTTGCTCCCACTATTTGAGGCAGCTTCTCTGATGCACCTTATGGGGCGAGTTGGAGGCTGAAGATCGTGAGGCGAGACCAGATCTGTTGGGTAGAACTGACTGACACTTATAGAGTGTGTCCAGAGAAGGCAACAGTGCTGGGGAAGGGGCTGGAGCCCCAGCAGAGGCTGAGGGAGCTGGGAAGGGGCTCAGCCTGGAGCAAAGGAGGCTCAGGGGGGCCCTTGTGGCTCTGCACAACTCCTGACAGGAGGGGACAGCCGGGTGGGTCGGGCTGTGCTCCAGGGAACAGGGACAGGAGGAGAGGGAACGGCCTCAGGGAGGGGCCAGGGGAGGGGCAGGGTGGATATTGGGGAATATTTCTTCATGGAAAGGTTTGTCCAGCTCTTATACAGCCTTCCCAGGGCAGTGGTGGAGTCCACATCCCTGGAAGTGCTCAAAAAATGTGTAGATGTAGCACCTGGGGACATGGTTTAGTGGTGACCCTGGCAGTGCTGGGCTAATGATTTGACCTGATGATCTTCGAAGGGTTTTTCCACCTTAATAATTCTGTGATTATTAAACTTGAAGTTCCTGAAGAACTTTTCCCTCCCATTCTCCTCTGGCTCAGCCACCCCCTAATACATCATCCCTCACTGCCCTCCCCAGCACCCCTGAGCCTGGATGGGGCTTGAGGAACTCACAGTGATGGCTAAATCTCCATCAGCCTGGAGGCCTTGTAGAAGCTTTTCAGGTGAAAAGTGTCATCCTCTCATGAGGCATCCTCGTTTGTCAGGGGTCTTTGAGCAATATTTGTGTTGATAAAGCCCGATTAGGAGAGGGTGCAGTTGCTGCAAGTCACAGTGACAGGTGACAAGTGACAAGCTACTGTCACCCCCTAAAGATGCCGTTGAGGGGAGATGCTCTGTGACTTGTGATTTCCTTGCAACTCCACCTTGTGATTCCTGCGTGGCCTTGGTGTTCCAAGGTGGGAATTCTCCTTTCCCAGAACCCCCTTCAGGTCAGCAGCCCTGTCCCCAGGCAGCCAATGGCCGTGTGGCCCTGCGCATTAGCCTGGCCTGTCCTCTCACTGATTCCCTCCTGGCTAATCCGGGCTGAGCCGGGCTGGGTGAGCAGGGCTCAGCTGCTGTCCATGGCTGTGCCCACCCCGCTGCCCCCCAGCCTGCGCCGGGGCTTGGTGGCCTTCAGTGGGTCCCTCTTCATCAACAACAAGACGTGGGATAGCGGCACTGCCCCCAGCTACCAGCCAGGTATGGGCAGACGGGCTCTGCAGAGGGGGCTTGGGAACAGGGGCTGTCCATCCCCACGACCCTGCTCAGCACATCACCAAAGCAGCTGGGTGCCTCTGAGGCAGCAGCACCCAAAGGGTTCCTGAACCCACCCACCAGGGAGGGAACAAAAATAAGAACATTTGCTGCAATCAGCTGCTTGTGGGACCCAGGGCCTGTTGCTCCCCTCCACAAGCTGTGAGGGGGGGTCCCTCTGGGCAGGGGGACCCTGGGACTGGTGAGCAGCCTGCCCATCCCTGCCTAGCTCACAAGGTGCTGTCCAGCCTGCCCCTCCAGGTGATGCTCTACTTCAACGTCTACTACTTCCCAGTCTGGTGCCTGGCTGAGGGGATTATGCTGCACCTGAAGGTACCATCCCATGGGGCACGTAGGGGTGGGGGGAGCTGCTCCTGCCAAGTCTCCCTGGGCTTGGGTGGGGGACAAAGTGGGCAGGGGACAGAGGAGCCTCTTCAGAATTAATGGATCCCCAAAATGCCCTCACCCCCACACGAAAAGATTGCTCATCTCTCTCTGCTAGAGATGGAAATCATGAACTTTCCAGGCAGGAATGGTTAAAAAGGGGGGGGGGGGGAGAAGAGTAGGCAGAGCTGGGCACCAGCATGGTGAGAGCTGGCAGAGCATGGAGAGCTGGGTATGGGGAGGAGGGAATGGTGCACAGGGAAAGGGAAACTGGGCATGGACAGCTGGACTTGGACAAAGCTGTGCCCCCATAACAGTACCACCTGCTGCCTTGGCACTATCAGTTCCTGCTGGTCACAGCCTTCCTCATCCTCTCACTGGCTGAGGGCTCCCGCCTCTACCTGGGCTACCTGGGGAACCTCCAGGAGAAGGTAAGCACTGCCTGCCCTGGCCCCTGTGCTCAGAAAGGATCAGCCCAGCTGGGGGGAGCTGGATGTCCCCTCACTTAGGACCCATGTGCCCATCACTGTCCTTTCTCTGGAGGTCTACCTGGAGCTGTCCTAGAAGAGAATCATGTGTGAAGGCATGACCTGAAGAAGGGGACCCATTTGCCCCCCTGCTCTGTCTCTCCACTGGGGGGGTTTGAGCATCTGACCACAGCTCAATGGAGCAGGGACATCCCTGGTCCCCGGGTTCCAAGGCCAGCAGAGGCTCTTGCAGAAAGCTCCAGGGGCCAGAGGGTCCCCCCAGCCCACCACTGCGTCCTTGCCCTATCTCAGAGGGTTCTGATCCTGCAGGTGCCTGAGCTGGCTGGGTTCCTGCTCCTCTCCTTCCTGATCCAGCTGCCCCTCCTGCTCTTCCTGCTGACGGACAGGCAGGTCATCCACCTACCGCTGGAGGTGCCCATGCACAGCCTGTTCCTGGTCTTCCTCCTCCTCGAGATCGTGGCTGCCTTCCTGGCGCTGAGGACCATGACCAAGCAGCTGGCAGCACAGTTTTACCTGCGGCAGTTCCAGGAGGGTGGGAGGGGCCGGCTGGAGCCCGGGGGCACAGGGGGACAGGCAGCCAAGATGGGGTGATGCTGCATGACCCCTCCACCCCACACAGCTGGTCCTGGCAAGGAGCATTAAACAGTGCTTGAACCCACAGACACTGTTTCTGAGCTTTGTGGAGACCCCAGAACAGCACCCAGGCACATCCCAGCTGATCCCTGCCTTGCACAAGCTAACACAGCCTAGGAGAGGTGGGAGTGAGGGGTCAGCACCTCTGAAACATTCTGGCTCACCCCAGGGCTGTGCCTGTCCTTGCTGAGCATCAGCCCTGGCAGGAGGCAGGAATCAGGGTGCAGGAGCCACTGCACACCCCTAGGAAGTACCAGCCCACAGCTGGAACTTTAAACTTGGCTCCTAAACCCTCCCTGAGCTTCCCAGAGAGCTTCTGAGAATCCAGGTGGCCCACATGAAGCCATCCCAGCTGGAAGCATGCACGGGTGCCATGAGGTGCAAGAGCAGCACTCCACAACTTTACAGTTCCTCCAGGGCTAGAGACAGAGTAAAACCTCCTCCCACTTCCAGAACAGCTTTATTCCATTGCATCCCTGTTTTTCAAGGGAAATCAAGGTCCATAATCATTGGAACGTGGAGAAATGCAAATGCTTTAAGGCTCTTGTGCCAAGCAGGACCAGCTGTTCCCCAGCACACTCTGGGGTGGCTCCAGGGGCAGCTCTGCTCCGGCTGTCAGCGCTGGGAGCTGCCCCTGGGATGGCTTTGTGCTCCAGGAGCCAAGAACTGCTGCTGCCAGCACTTCTCCAGGAAAGGCAGACCCTAACCCCAGCAGTGCCCACCTGGGCCAGGCCTGGCCCACCTCTACCAGGGCTGCAGCCGGGTCCCCATCATATCTACCTGCAGGTGGCTCTGGGGGGAAGGCAGTTTGTGGTGGAGCATTCCCGATGTCCCTAAGCTGTGGCCTCAGGCTTACCTTTAGGGGGTCTTGCCTGCAAAATGAACAGGGACATCAGGATACAACAGGCATGGAGGCAGCCCAGGTGGCCCTCAGCTACTCTGCTTGGTTCCATGGCCACTCTGGATTCAACATCAGGCATTAGGAAAGTTTACCCCCCAACAGAATGGTGCAGCTTTGGGACAGTTCACCAGGAGATGGGGAATCTCAGTCCTCAGAGGCTCCAAAGACTTGACAGACAAAGCTGGAAATGACCTGAGGCAGGACTGCCAGCTCTCCTGGTCTGCAGGGGACTCCCTGTGACTCCCTGATTCACCAGGGCAGTGAATTCCCACAATGGAATAATGTTTGGCACATAAACCTGTCAATGACCCACAGAACAGGATGTGCCCTGAAGAGCTGGCCCCTCTCTGCATGGAGTCCCAACAGATTCCCTTTGGAAGAGGGTGAAAAGCAGAGCTGGGTCAGTTTTCCAGATTAAGGTCTCCATGGCGACCCACTGATGGATGTTTTGACAGTAGATGAGGTCATGACACAACTTTCCCTGATTCCCAGCAGCAGCTGGATCTCTCTCCCAGGTCAGACTGGCAATCAAGCCCAAAAATTGAAAACTAAGAGCTGCTCCACTAGGTTTTTCCCTGATCTTGGGAACTGAGTTTTAACCAAAGGGCAGAAAATCATTAAATCCAAAATGCTTCACCTCAAAACCTCCTCTCTCCCATGTGGCCCTATCCTTACCTCCTCAAACTTCTCCTTCCAATAAAGGTCAGCCTTTGCATCAAGGTAGAGCAGAACCAGGTCACAGATCATTGTAGCCTGGAGACAGACAAACATTGAAGACTGCAAACTTCCCACAGGAATGCCTGGCCTTCCATCCTGGCTCCCACTGAGCCCTGCAGCCAGCTGTGGGCATTTGCCGTGGCACCAAGCCAGTCCTGCCTCCAGCCAGCTCCACTGGCTTCTCTCTGACCCAGCCCGGTCCCAGGGGCTGCACAGGAGGTCAGACTGCAATGGATGGACAGGGAGGGCTGTTCCAGCACCTCCACAGTCACATACGGACTGGGATGAGCATGTCAGGGAGGAAAGGGGGTAAGGTAGGGGACCTCCCTGTTACTCTGCTGGAAGGGAAGAGCCACAGAAGGGCTCTGCAAGGGGCTGCCCCACCATAGTGACAGGACACTGCATCCCTTCAGTCAGAGGAGAAGTAGAGGAGCTGCTCTCCTGCCAGCAGCATCCCAGTGATGCTCTATCCCAGGTTCCACACAAAAACCTGACCACCATGAGACATGACTCTGACAGCACTCAGGATCCCAATCCAGTGGTGTCATTACTAATGGGCACAGGGAGACCTGAGCTGACACCCTGCCAGACCATCTCCCCTCTGTGCTGGCTGCCACTAGGGAAGCCTTGTGCCCAGGCAGGAAACAATTGAGAACTGGCAAATCCCAAGCCACGGATTGAAGGAGAAGAGTGTATCTGGAGTACTCACGGCACCAAAGAAGGCGATGCTGGTGCCAAAGCTCACGGCAGTAGGAACAATGCTGAACTTCCCAGCCTGGTGAGAAACAGTGGAGGGGCAAGAGAGAGGGTGAAGAGGGGTCAGAGGGGTGAGGAGGTGGTGGGCTGAGCCTTGCGGGGCAGCATGCTCCAAGTCAGGAGGCGCTGGAAGGATCCAGGGATATTTCCCCGTGAGGATTTGTAGGAACTGCTGTTGTGCTGACTCCACCCCCCTTTGGTTGTCAAAGAAGGGACTGAGGTGCCTGACGACCTGGAAGCAGCAGAGGTTACTGTGACCCACCTGCTCCTGCAGGCACAGCAGGAACCTCCCTCTTGCTGCAGCTGCCACCCATGGAACCACATCCCAGCAAACACAACCCTGATGTGATGTGTCCCTCCCTTCACAAATGAGTGGTGGTTTCTCTTCTGGTTGTTCTCTCCTGTTCCACAGCTCCTGGACCTGCTCTCTCAGCCTAGAAGTGGTACACCCTGTCCTGCACTGTGTGCTGCACCTTCTTCAGGTACAAAGGGCACTGCTGAGCATGAAAGACCAGCTGTGGACACCTCTCAGTGTGGGAAGTGCTCTCAGCACAGGCTCCCTCTTCAGAAAGCTAAGCACTGAGTTTGTGAGTGATGCTGCACAGAGTAGCATCAACAATCATGGAAACATGGAATAGTTTGGGTTGGAAGAGACCTTAAAGCTCATCTCATTCCACCCTCTGGCATGGGCAGGGACACCTTCCACTACCTCAGGGTACTCCAAGCCCCGTCCTGCCTGGCCTTGGACATTTCCAGGGATCCAGGGGCAGCCACAGCTGCTCTGGGCAACCTGTACCTGGGCATCATCACCCTCTCAGGGAAGGATTTCTTCCAAATATCCCATCTAACCCTGAGAAGCCATTCCCCTTTGTCCTGTCCCTCCATCCCTTGTCCCCAGTCCCTCTCCAGCTCTCCTGGAGCCCCTTCAGGCCCTGCAAGGGGCTCTGAGCTCTCCCTGGAGCCTTCTCCTCTCCAGGTGAGCACCCCCAGCTCTCCCAGCCTGGCTCCAGAGCAGAGGGGCTCCAGCCCTTGCAGCATCTCCATGGCCTCCTCTGGGAGCTCCAAATCCTTCTGTTGTTGGGGACAGCAGAGCAGGTGCAGCACTGCACCTGAGCGGGGCAGAGAAGCAGAATCCCCCTTTACCTCCTGCCCACAGTGGTGAGGATGAGTCTAGGACACAGGGCACTTCTGGGCTTTCAGGCACATGGCTGGGGCATGTCCAGCCTTAATCATGCCACACCTTTTCCCCCTGAGGTACTTTTAATCAAGAAGGGATTAATTGTCCAGGTTCAGTAGAGTTCAGGTTGATCTTTGTCAGGGTGCTCCTACCATAACATCCTCAGAGAGAGACACCCACAAACCCAGACCAGCTGATCTTGCCTACTGAACACTTCATGGGCCTCATGTCAGACCCTCAGAGAGGGAAATCTCCCTCCTCAGGGCATTACCAAAAGGTTTTTCTTCAAATAGGAGAGACTGTTTTCTCCTGCTCTGCTTAGAAAACTCTGGGAAGAGGCAAAGAGCTCACCCAGGTGGGGAGAACTGATGGCAGCAGAAACCACAGGGGCAGAGTGGGAGCAGTGGTGTGAGGAGCCAGCCCTGGGCTGAGGAGCTCGCTGTACCTGGCCATGCACAGAGAGGTCGAAGCGGATCCCGTAGAGCTTCAGCAGGTTCCGGTAGAGCTGCTGCTGCGAGCCCCAGTAGTAGGAGGCAGTTCTGTGGGAGACATTGGCCATGGCTCAGAAAGGCACCTGCATGCAGGCAGGAGGGAAGGGGTGCCAGTGCCAAAGGATTGTTGGGTCTCTGGGTTCCTGGGTGTCCTCCAGGCTGGGAACTGGCCATACACGGGCAGCAACGACTCACTGGCACCAACACTGGGGCACCAGCATCCCCTCAGCACCCAGTCTGGGTCACTGGGAGCACACAGCTCTCCGTGTGCCCAGCTCAGGTGGGGACAGTCACAGGTCCCTGCCCTCAGGCAGGTAATGCCCTGCTCAGCTCCAAACACAAAAGAGCTACAAAGTGTGAGAACTGCCACAGCATCCCTCTACTCACAGGCCCTGCCCTGAGTTACCATTTCCCAATGCCTTAAAGGTCTCTAAGACCTTTAAGTTCAAGTAATTAACCAAGCACTAACCCATGTCCCCAGGTGCCACATCTACACAGCTTTTAAATCCCTCCAGGCACAGGGACTCCACCACTGCTCTGGGCAGTTTCACCAGGGCTGGATAAACCCTTCAGTGAAAAGATTTTTTTAACATGCAATCTAAACACTCTGTTAGTGCAGCTTCAGGCTGTTCCCTCCAATAAGGCTCCTGGTTCCCTGGAGCACAGCCCGACCCCCCCGGCTGTCCCCTCCTGGCAGGAGTTGTGCAGAGCCACAAGGTCCCCCCTGAGCCTCCTTTTCTCCAGACTGAGCCCCTTTCCAGCTCCCTGAGCCTCTGCTGGGGCTCCAGCCCCTTCCCAGCTCTGTTCCCTTTGCTGGACACACTCCAGCCCCTCCAGGTCTCTCTTGGCAGGAGGGGCCCAGATCTGCCAGGACTGGAGGTGCCCCAGCAGTGCCAGCTCAGATCAGGTGCCCCTGGACTTCCTGCCCACCTGGGTTCATGTTCACCTTCAGGTCCTTTTCTGCCTGCAGCTTTCCAGCCATTCTGCTCCAGCCTGGAACATTCCATGGCATTGTTGTGTCCCCAAAACAGAACCTGGCTCTTGACCTTGTTGAACCTCACACCACTGGCCTCAGCCCATGGATCCAGCCTGTCCAGTTCCCTCTGCAGGGCTTCCTGCCTTACAGCTGATCCACACTCCCACCCAGCTCAGCATCATTTGTGAACTGACTGAGGCACACTTCCCATCCCTGCTGCACCTTTCAGAGCATCTGTCAGAACTGAAATCTCAAACAACTGTCAGGTGCTGATCCCACAGGCCTGTGTGGCCACTGTCCCAGCATCCTCACCTGAAATTGTACCTCATGTCCTGCAGGCTGAAGGAGTACTGTGGTTGGCACTGGGTAGCGGGGTGGTCCAGGTCGCAGTTCCACTCGATAAGAACTCTGATACTTCCCCCCTGAAAAACACATTTCATTCCAGGAGAAGCATGGAATCAGATTAGCCAAGTCATTAACTGTTCAGACATTCCCAGTTCATATATTCCCTTAGCATTTCAGGTCAGTCCTCTGCTTCTTGCTCACATCCTTGGGGAATTTTGAGTCGCCTTCCATAGTTATATAAAAAACAAGTACCAGTAGTGCGAGGTCTCCAAAGTTCTCTCCAGCTGCCTCCACCATGTCACGGACACGGAACACAGGGCAGGAGGGGTTGAAGACTGGATCATATGTGCAGCTCTTGAAATAGCTGGGGTCACTGGTTTGTAAGGTGTTGCACCTGAGACAGGAGAGAGAGGGGGCAGGGGTGTGGGAGGTCATGGAGCCCAGCTGTGGGACTGCAAAGGGGACCCTCTCATTGGACTGGGCCCACCAGTGCTCCTGCATCAGTGGGGGGACAGTCAATGCCTCGCCTAAAGCCTCAGATGGAAGAGAGTGAAGAAAAAACAGCCCAGAGGAATCTCACATGGAGTGTGAGATAGCACGTGCCACGGCCTTCCCTTCCACCCCTTTGTGCTCCTTTGTTTCTTCCCAGCACCCAGCTCTGGTCACTGCTACGGGTGACAGCAGGGACAGTTCATGCCATGTCTCCTGCCACGGTAAGGCAGCACAGTCAGTGTGCCTGGGACTGTGGGGTCAGTGCAGCCTTTTTCTTGCCTTCTATGAAACCACTTTGCAAGGACTAAAAGACAAAAATATTAGTTTCACTTCCAAATGAGAGCTGGGAATGGCTGGCTTTGTCCGGCTCTCCGCAGTGCTCTACATGGGCAGGTGGACATCAGTCCCTCTCGCTGGGGTGTCCCCATCCCACTGCTCTTAGAACTGCACACCCAGCACAGCTGAAGTGACCTGTATTCACCTCAACACCTGTCCTGCCCCAGCTGCCTCAGCACCACCTGCCCTGGGTGCCACTGCTTCCACGAGTGCTTCAGCTCCTCAACCCCAGGACAGGCTCGGTGCCCAGGCTGGACAAGGCTGCATGCTCAGCCCAACTGGCAGTACTTACTTGGAGAAGTTAAATTTGGTGAAGTGGACAGTATTTTTTATAAAAAGAGTGAAATTCTCTGCCTCAGCCAGAAGAGGTTTCCTAGAAAACAACCACCAACAAAGTCAAGTCTTGCACAGTGGCCAAGGCCCCATTTCCCAAGCTCTGCAGTCTCTCCTGCAATCCCAAGATTTTGTCTACAATGGACAGATGCAAGAAATGCTCTTGGGTGACACCCTCTGAGTTTAACTGACCAGAAAGTCAATGTCAGAGGTCTCCCAGAGCCTGGCTGTCCCTTGGGCATGTGTGGTCAGACTCCTGGTAACACAGAGGGAGAGAGACAAAGCTCCCAATATCTGCTGTCTCCTCATGTGTGATTACCTGGGAAGGGTGCTATTCTCCACAGGACACCAGCCATAGATCTCACAGGTGGAATGGGTGGCATTGAACATCAGACATTTCCCAGTTTTTATCCCTAGAAACAAGACAATATAAGACAGGCTGAGAGAGTTGGGGTTGGTCACCTGGAGAAGACTTTGGAGAGACATTAGAGCCCCTTCTGGTGCCTAAAGGGGCTCCAGGGGAGCTGGAGAGGGACTTGGGAGAAGGGCCAGGAGAGACAGGATAAGGGGGAATGGCATCCCAGTGGCAGAGGCAGGTTTAGATGGGATATTGGGAATAAGGAATTGTTCCCTGGCAGGGTGGGCAGGCCCTGGCACAGGGTGCCCAGAGCAGCTGTGGCTGCCCCTGGATCCCTGGCAGTGCCCAAGGCCAGGCTGGACACTGGGGCTGGGAGCAGCCTGGGACAGTGGGAGGTGTCCCTGCCATGGCAGGGGGTAGAACAGGATGAGCTTTAAGTTCCTTTTTAACCCAAACCATTCTAGGATTTTGTTTCTTTAGCAAAATACCCAGTACCATTGCCATGAACCACAGGGTTTCCCATGGGACAATCTGCATCTTCTGTGCACATCCCGTCGAGGACAGAGGGGCTCTGGGAGGGACAAGAGAAGTGCTGTCACTGTGCTGTGAGGCTGAGGCCATGCTGCCACTTCCCCCCATCGTTGCACTGCTGCTCCTGCTTCTCCAAGTGCTTCCCAAACAGTTAGAGATGAACTTTCACCAGCCTCTAGCCAGTCAGAAGAGAGGCATGTCCAAAGGGCAATCCTTCCTCCCCAGAGCACTTGTGTCCTGCTGCTCAGTGGCAGAGGAAGCCTCAGGAGCTACCTCAGACCTTTCAGATGGAACTGGGAACCAGCACAGAGGGATTCAGGAGGGCCCGAATGACTGAGCCCATTAAGCACCTTGTAAAGTACCATGATGAATTCCCTGGGGGAGAGCTTAGTAAACCCTAAATCCAGCATAACACGAGTTTTACAAGAGACAGGGAAAGCTTCACCCTTACTCTGGACCTACCTGATTGTCAGAAGCAGTAAAAATCTCTTATTCAAACACAGAGTTGGGGAAACACCACTAACACCTCCCCCAGCTACCCCAGGCCATGACAGGAGTCACCAGCTCATCAGAAACCCGCTCCCCAAGCTCTGAGGGTACAAAGGCCCAAACGCAGGAGGGGAATGCTCAGTTATGGAGTCAGAAGTGGGGGCCTGTTCAGGCCTTCCCTGGGCTGCCCCAGGACAGCCTCAGCCACTCATTCAGGTGTAAAACCCACCAACATGATCTGAGAGGAGCAGTATCTTTGGGCTGGGTAGGGTCTGCCTGGGGCTGGAGTCATTATGGGATGCAGGAGAACATCTGGGGATTGCACCAGGTGTTTAGGGAATGGGTTATTTAGGGGAGGAAGGGAAGGCATAGGAAGGAAGGAACTTGGTAGTCTGAAAAGGAACATAAAGGGATAAAAGGATGCAAAGACTTAAGTGCATGTACAGCTGCTGAAACAGCTCATGTTCTATGCTGCCTCTGGCCACAGACAAATTCATCTGCCAGAACCAATACTCTGGTCATCAAGAATATTAAGGCAGCTCAAACTCCCTGAAAAACCAAAAGTTGCCACTGCTAAATATTCAAAGCTTTCCAACTATGAATGTCATCTACAGCCCCAGTGCCAGGAACTGAGGAACTCTTGGAGACCAGCATGGGGTGTAGGCTGAGACAGGCACCCACACACACCCCAGCTCTGGAACAGAATGAAATCCTCATCTCTGTGTGTCCTTGGCTTGCACACTGCAAACCCAGCACCTAGAGGTGCCTGTGGCTGCCTGTGAGAACCCCAAAATGCCCTACAGCACTTGTCTTCCTCCCTGCTGGGACTTTAAGAGTTCTCAGCATTTAAAAGATGGATCACTGGTGCCATTTCCCCAACCCAAACCCAGTGTTTCTCCTCCTCTGCAGCATTTGGCCACAGCAGGAGCTGAAGGGACCATTAGGATGATTGGTGCTTGGCTTAGGTACAGAGTGCCTGCAGCAGTCCAGCTTAAAGGACATTTGCTCCCATCTGCTGAGCTGGGCTCAGCTTGGGAGAGCTCAGCAGAGGAGCTGGCCTGACTCCAGCCTTAAAGGGAAGAGTTTTCCCAGAGAACATATACCATTAAGTGTTGGATAGCTGGAAAGCCATCTGCACTTTATGCTCTGTTTCTCCTAAAAATAGGACACTAGTCCTGCAGCAGGGAGTTACCAAGGAAAGATGACACAGGTATCCATGGAGTGTGTGTCAAAGCATCCCCTTATTCAAGGGCAGCAGAAAGCCTGGAATGGTCATGCAGTGCCACCACACAAAGTGCTTAGAGCTGGAGAGGATTCATATCCCTGTCCTCTGGTAGGGCACACGGATACACATCTTGGCTCATGAAGGTATGACAGAGGAAGGGCAGATGTGCTGGGGAGTGCTATGATCCAGAGAGAATGAGGGGAATTGGGTTTTGTGGGAATATAAATCCATTTCCCCCTTTTATCTGGTCTTCCACTGGGTTCCACTGAGCAGCAGAACCACTGGCTCCATCTAACCCCTGCCAGGCTGGGGCAGGTCCATTCACTCACCTCGGGACAGGTGCCTTGGGCTTGCTGGATTGTGGCGATGAAATGGGTCACCAGGAAAAGCACATTTTCTCCCTGGGAAGCAAGAAGGCTCTGTCAGAGGGAGGCTGACACCAGGGTGGCCCAAGGGGACGCCCCGTGACACCACGGGCGGAACAGGCACTGATGGGCCTGCCAGGGCTTTGGGAGGCCAGCCGTGCCCGCGGCATCCCCTTGTCAAGGTGCCTGGCCATATGTGCGACCCCCTGTCCCCGCCCGGGGCCCGGCCCTACCTGCGGGGGCCAGGTGAGATCCGCAGCGTCCCAGAGCCGCCGGCCCGCGGCCTCGGCGACCGCCGCCCCCTTCACCTTCGTGACCACGGCGACACGCGGGGCTGTGTCGCGCTCCTGGTACCCCTTGCGCAGCAGCAGCACCCACCTGCGGGGGAGCGGCGACTCTGAGGGACCCCCGGCCAGCGGGGAGCGGCCAGCCGAGGGCGCGGTCCCTACCCCAGCAGGTAGCCAAGCGCGCCCAGCTGCAGCAGCCGGTGCAGCAGCCCCACCCGCCGGTTCCGCGTCAGCGAGAACTTGGCAGTCTTGTAGTCCAGCAGGGACCCGCAGGGTGGGCCCGGCATGGCGGCACGGGGGGGGTTAGCGGCACTAAGGGCAAAGGGGGGCACGGTGAGGACAGCGGCACCAGGAGGGAAGGGCGGCCAGGGAAGGAAAGGCAGCCGCGGGGCCGGCGGCCGCTGCGAGCCCGGCACAGCAACGCCCCGCCCCTCACCGGCCCTGGCCCCGCCCCTCACCGGCCGCGGGGGAGCCCCGGGCCGGGCCGGGCCCGCAGCCCCACACCGGGCCGGGATCGCAGCGGCCGCGGGGCCTGCCCGAGAGCCGGGCGAACCTCCGCTGCCTCCAGCCGCCGGCTCTCCCCACAGCGAGAATCCCAGAATGGTTTGGGTGGGAAGGGATTTAAAGCCCTTCCACTGCCGTGGCAGGGACACCTCCCACCGACCCAGGCTGCTCCCAGCCCCAGTGTCCAGCCTGGCCTTGGGCACTGCCAGGGATCCAGGGGCAGCCACAGCTGCTCTGGGCACCCTGTGCCAGGGCCTGCCCACCCTCACAGGGAACAATTCCTAATTCCCAATATCCCATCCATCCCTGCCCTCTGGCAGTGGGAAGCCATTCCCTGTGTCCTGTCCCTCCATCCCTTGTCCCCAGTCCCTCTCCAGCTCTCCTGGAGCCCCTTCAGGCCCTGCAAGGGGCTCTGAGCTCTCCCTGGAGCCTTCTCCTCTCCAGAAGTGTCAGCCCAGCTCTCCAACCTGTGCTAAACCAATATGGACCAGTTCCTGATCAAGTAATGGACAATTTTTCTTTCTCTCTAATGAAAATGATGTCATTCCTCTGGATGATGGAGCCACCCAAGTTTTACACCAAGGATACATCAAGGACCCATTCCAGCCTGTCCTGCTGGAGGTTCAAGGACCTACCAGAGCCCAGGGCTCACCACATGAGATGTGATGTTGGCCAGCAGAGCGGATTTGCCAGCAGAATGCTTTGAAGTGCTCAAGAGCCAGAATTATCTCCTTCCCTGGATGCAGGTGGGAGGATGGGATGTGTAAATGGGTCAGTACACCTCAGAAAGAACTTTTCTTTATGTCATCTCCCCTGGAGTACTCCACATTTTAAAGTTAATATTTTTAGGAAGAAATTATAAACCTTCTGTTTTAAATTAATATTTTAAAATTAATATTTTTAGGAAGAAATTATAAACCTTCTGTACATTAATGTCAGGTAGTCCCACCTGAAGCTGCTTTCAGCAGGCACAGCATCTTAGAAATGTGTCGTTTGGACCATAAAAAAGTACAGTCTTTCCTACTCATTTTTGATGATAAAACTTTTTCTTAAGTTTATTTTGTCTGGAATAGTTCTCTGAAGTCCCTTCCATTAATTTTCCTGTCTCTAATATCCATAGATGGAGAAAATAATCTGATTTTGTAGTATCTTTTGTATAATCACAAGGTCATGGCCATGCTTCTGTTTAGTTTCTGTAAATATTTCTGAAACGCTGTGTGCCAGATCCATGTTTTCCCTGGGTGGTGTCTTTCATGCAGAAGTCGAAGTCCAACTCCATCCACTGCTTTACAATCCTCAGTCCTCACACATCTCAGCTGCTACAGCCTCCTCCTTGAACGTCCTTCATGTCTTCAGTGGCCTTTTTTGGCTGACAGGAGAGAAAACAACCTTAATCCTCACCAGTTCTGGCACCAGGAACACCCCAGCCATCCACCTCATTCGTTCCCAGTTCCATGCTGCTTGCTTTCCTTGGGTTTACCTTTGAAGGCTGCAGTGGCTGCTTGTCACCTCCCCTGCCCTCCTCAGCTCCCGTTCCTTTTGCAGTCCAACAGTTCTCCTCAGCTGCCTCAGCTTCAGGTATGGACATGTTTTCCTTTTCATTTGTCCTCGTTGACACCCTCATGTTTTTCCTGCCCCACTGGAAATTCACAGAACACTTGCTGAGCAAACCTATTCGGATTTCCAGCTTCTCTGGGAGGGGTTCCAGGAGGCTGTGGGAGCTCCCTGGCTCTCAGTATCGGCTTTCAGGCTCCACCAGCTGGAGCACAAGCAGGGCAGTCACAGCTGCACTGTGAGCACAGCCCCTGCCTTTGTCACGGTGATTGCACTTTTAGTCCCTCTTTTCTGTCTTGGCAACGTGAGGTCAAAGAACGCAGGTGCTTCGCTGTCTGGCAGCTTCTGCTTTGGGCTTGTGGTAAATGAGGTAGAAAAATATGTAGTTTTAATCACCTAGAGGTAATGCAGACAGTTGCAGAGAAGTATATGAACCAACCCAAGCTTCCTTTTAACTCTTAAACTGGTTTAATGTATTTTTTCTTTGGGGAGATTTTGAAATGGCTATAGCAGAAAACATTGGATTAAACTTAGAATCAGCTGGAACCATTTCCATAGCCAAGGGCAGCTGCTTTGGCCAAAGGCTTCGAGCAGGGAATTGTTTTCACTCCTGTTCTTAAACTGTGAAAGCTCACATGAAGCTGATGTGCTGTTGGCCTTGTGCCTGTCCCTGTCCAAGAGTCATCTTTGACCTGGGATCACATGGACCTTGGAATTAAGAGGGAAAAATCATCCTGTATCTATGGACATATCACAGATGTTTTCATTTCTCTGTTTCTAGTTTTTCCTTTTTAGAGTCAAAATTACTAAAATGAATGTTTTGAGTGGTTTAATTTCTGATTCATAAATCAACAAAGATATTGTTTTGTAGTCTATATATAGTTTTTATTGTACTAAAATTTTACTCGCCAAAATAAAAACCAGTTCTTCCAGCCTCTGAGGCTGAAAGAGACCACACGTTGGTGGTTAGTGGTGAGTTGGCAGTGCTGGGTTAATGGTCTTGGAGGTTTTTTCCAACTTGAATGATTCTGTGATTCTATAAAGTTTATCTTCTTTATTTGAAAAGAATTCTATTATGTACCTAGTGGGGTCTGTCCTATAAATGTGCAAATCATTTTATAGTTATGTGTCTAATAAATCAAGACTGTGCTTTTGTCTCAGGACTGTCTGTCCAAACCATTTGCAAACACCATTTGTAAATACAGGCTGCAGTCTTTAAATTTGGGCTGTCTCTAAAAACATCAGAACCATCCTGACACTCCCTCAGTCTCCAGATGAAAACTTTATGTATTGAACACAGAAGCTTTATAGGGCTTGGTTTAAATCAGTGTAAGCACTTATATTTTAAAATATTTTTTACCATTTATTGCTTCTGTGATGTCCTTTGCCCCTAGCCCCTCCTGTGTTCTCTCAAAGGAGAGATGCAGATTAAAATCCTATGAAACAGTACACTCCAAGTCTGTCCTTGTTCACCAGCTGGAGAAGATCCATTTGCCTGTGTTTTGACACATTAATTTGTTTGTCATTAGAATCAGAGCTGTGTGGTTTTAGGCTCAATAAACCATTTGGGAACCTAAGCACACAGGTGAGCCGGCAGTGCTATACCAGGCAGTGTTACTGGGATGGGGACCTTGAGCATCCCGCTGTCCTGTGGTTTGGTGAGGGGGCTGAGGGACACCAAGCACAAGCCTGCCTTGTGCCCAGGTGGGATTTGCATTCCCGGAGGGCTGCCAGGGGAAGAGGGAGCAGGCAGCTGGAGCTGGCCTGGAGGATTGTGTGGGAAGTTGGAGGGATTTGCTGTGCTTTGGCAGCTGCTGCCAAAGGTTGTGAGGAATTAACATGTAGGGACTTACTCTGAGAACTGTAGTTCTGTTAGACTGAAATACCAGTTACTCCAAATTTACCTGCTCATCTCCCCTGCTGGAATCACTGTTCCTCCTTCCTCAAACTCAATTGTGTTCTCTCTATGTTGGAAACCAATCTTGGAATTATGCACCAGAAGACTTGTTGAATCCCTGTTCACAAGGGATTCAATGATTCTAGTACTGAGCCTTTTGTGTGTGTGTGTGTGTAAGTGTCAATTCCATATTGTTCCTTTTTGTTTTCTTTGCAAAAGTGCCAGATAGCAGTTGGATGCCTCATGAAGGTGTTACAGCACACCAGCACTGCAGCCTCTGTCCAGGTCCTCTCCCAGTCAGAGCACAGAGGTTACACAAGTCCACATTGATTGCCACTAATGGTATTTCTCCAGAATCCTCGAGTAGCTCTCACTTTGCTCAGTGGCCTCTTGAAGCCTTGACTGTCCTCATCTCCTGTCACCTTTCGGAAGGATCTGCCAGCTGGTTTTGCTGCAGTGCTCTGGGACTGTTCCAGCTGCCTGTTTCTGGAAAATGAGCATTACTACTCCAGGGAAGCTCACTGCCTGATTCCATGTGGAACTTCTCTGGTGTAAGTTACAGAGGTGATCCCAAAGTTCTAACTGTAGCAGCTACTAACTTTGGAGGCAGGGCTGGGCAGCAGAACCTCCAGTGTGTCTCCAGCTGCTCCCCCCACACAGAAAAGGGGTTTTTGTGTTTTCCAAGTATTTTTCTTGAGCACTTTCATCTCCTTTAGGATATCAAGTGTGCTGCCATGCCCAAGGGTGCATGGGCTCTTGTCTCAGCAAGGATTGGCTGCCCTAGAGTGCTTCCAGCCTAGCAAGAGAGGTGTGGGGTAATGAGAAATCAGCCATCCTGGCTCCAGAGGAGCTGCTCGCTGCAGCTCCTTCCTGCCAGCATCTGACAGATGTTTCACAACCTCAGGCCAAGCTGTCATTGCCTCAGGAAACATTTCTGGTCTCCTGCCTAAATCTTCCTCATGGCATTTTCAGTCCACTGCTTCATTCCATGCCACCTGTGCATGTGGGGAAGATTTATTCTCCTTTTATAGAATCTGTAAGGTTGGAAAAAACTGCTAAGATCACCAGGCCAGTAGCTGCAGTTTTGTGTCTGTGGCGTGTTACATGTGGGGAAATGGCCGCTTCCTCCCTTGCCCCAAAGCAGATGCAGCGGATGCATCTGGTGTTGGAATGAAACCTCTGCCACAGGGATGGGGCCACGCCCTTTGTGCCCTCACTTACACAGCTCCTTGGAAAGTGCTGAGACAGGGAAGAGCTGTGGCTTCGGAGACGGCTGAGACACAGCACAAACACTCCCGGAACCCAGGGACCCGTCTGCCTGACCACCAGCACATCCTGCAGGGACAAAGGAACAAGACCACCTTGCTCTGTGCCATCTTTTAAGGCTCTGCCATTCCCTGGCTGATGGCAGGAGCACTGCTGGCATCCTGGAGTGCTGCGTGATGCTTACCTCATCCTCGGGCTGTGTCTGCAGGAGGAGGAGGGGAGCAGGGCAGGATAATGAGCGGATTACTTACAGCCAGCCTCCCTGAGCCCTGCAGCTCATCTGTGCTGCTCTCAGAGCCGGGGGCGGAGGGGAGGACTGGGGAGGGATAATTTAGGAACATGAGGCTGGGAAGTGATTTAATTAGGACGTGGAGCTGCTCTCTCCTGGGTGCAACACACCACCCCCTTCCAGTGCTTGGGGCTCCCCTTTTCCTCCCCCCAGCATGGACAAGGCTCAACTTTGCAAGCAGCTGCTTATTCCAGTTATTAAACTGTGCACCTGCAACTCCTGCTCCCCTGTGCTTTCCCAAATAAGAGCCCAGCAATCCCTGTGGGTTCCACTAGCCAGTCATCTCTGTAAGAGCTCCTGCAGCCCAGACATCTCTGCAGCTCCCACTGGTCCTGTCCCCAGGGCTGCATGGGCTGCAGCAGTGATCCTGTACCCTGAAGCCCCAAAAATCATCACTGGCTCAGTCCTTGTGTCCATCCCTGGAGCATCCCTGAGTTGCACCTGGGGCTAAGGTCCACAGGCATGGTTACTCACTGCCATTTAATGTGGCAGCCCCAACACTGATTTTCTCTGTAGTACAAATCCCATGTTATTTCCCTCTGGATTTGCATTTCTCCTTGTCCTGCTGCACCTGCTTTTTGGGAACTGTCCTCCCAGGGCACAACAAACCAGCACTGCCCTGCCAGCTGCTCTCCAAGTCCAGCAGCATCACTGGAGAGGCTCAGCCAGCCCACTCCCATGCTCTCTGTGGGGATTATCATCCAGGACTCACATTAACCCTCTTAATCCAGCCCAGAGCACGTGTGCCAGAGCTGCTCCTGCCCCATGGCCCATAAAGCCCTTCCCAGTTCCTGGAGCCCCAGCACTGGCCACTCCAGCACTGACCCACACACCTCCCTGCAGCTCTGGAAACAGATTGATTTCCTGCAGCCTGACTACATCATTGCCATGGCTCTCAGAAAATAGAGGACTTTATTTATATTTTTAAGCTAATTTGGAGAAGGATACTGCCCTGCAAAACAGGTGTATGGTCAGTCACAGGGAAGCAGCAAGTAGCTGCTTCTGGAGCTCCATGAAACAGGGTTCTGGGAGCTGCACATGAGAATGGTTTCATTTTACATCTGTTTGGAATTGAGGGTATGGATGGGGCAGCCAGTGTTTTCTCTTACAATTACAGGCTGCCATCTTAAAGCCTGCTGAATATTTGTTTGGATTTTTTTTTCTCTGCTGATACAATTTTCAGGAACAAATTCCTGTAGAAGGGCTGTCTGGGTGCCAGTGGCTGCTGCCATCCCCCTTTTCTTCTGTGTAGATTAAGGAGTAGTCAATTAAAAATCAATTAATACATGTTCTGTACAGAGCATGTTACTGCTGTAGGATAGTGTATGACACATGAACCAATCAATTTTGTAATCCTATTTTTAACAAAACCCACAAGTGTGCTTGGGAGGCTCCACTGGCCTTCCAGGTGCCAGAGAATTATACTCCAATCCTTTAATACCCTGTGGCTGCATCCCCGGCACCTCCTGCTATGCTGGGGAGGACCCCGTGCTTTGTGTGCCACAGCCTAACAGGGATTTCTGTGCATTTTTAGAAATGAATGTTTTTAAATAGAATAAATGTCAATGGTTACAAGGCTCATTCAATAACTCTTTGGTCTTTTGCAGCTTAAAATGCTGATTGAGACCTCTGCCAGGAGAGCTGAGAGATGTGACTGTCATTGACTTTCCTCCACAGGGGAACATAAAAGTCATCCTCAGCCCATCCCTCTCTGTGAGGAATTTCCTGCCCCTCCCCAGTTCTGTGCTGGGCTCCCTCCTCCTGTGTCCCTGTGGATCTTTTTACTTGCCTTTGTCCTGCTGACAATGGCTTTATTACCAAGATTAAAGCTGAGCCACTAAGGAGGGTTCAGCCTGTGCCTCCCTGGGTGCCTGTTGAACACTTGCTTTTTAATGAAAAAAGACTCTGTTATCTCAGGAATGACATTTCCCTAGAGAACAACAGTGTGGGGATGGGGGTGACTGTGGGTTATAAATAATTCCTATTAATTGCACAAGTTCTCACATCCTTTGGCTCCTAACCTTGGGCAGCTTTAGTAACCCTGCCCTGGTGCTGACTCAGCACTTTCCTCACTGCTCACAGTGCTCAGTCCTATCTGGGTCAATATCAGGGTATTTCTGTGCTATAAGGCTCAAGTCCCAGCCTACCCAGCCCCGTGGGGTCCCAGTTTCTCTGGGTCTGGCTGGAGCTTTTCCTGTGACTGGAACCCCGGTGGCAGCAGGGTGGCAGTGGGCACCCTCCCTTTCCCCACTTTCTGGGGGGCTGTCCTGAGCGTTTCCCACCTTGACTCCTGGGGACACAGAGATCACAACCAGTCAGAGCCATCACAGAAACAGTGTTTATGAGGATGACCAAATCAGCCCGTTGCTCACAAGCCACGACACAGGGTTCCAAGCGGGGCCACAGCGCCGGCGGCAGCAGCGCGGGGACAAGGTGGGACACGGAGCAGTGCTGGCAGACAGAGGGGTTCACCGGAGCCAGCGTATCCCACTGAGGGTCCCCACAGCCTCTCTAGGGTCCCCCAGTGACTGGCCAGCAAGAAGTAATGGAACAGCTTGCCCACAGTCCCCAGCTCCTCGCAGCATGCAGAGGATGAGGATGGAGCAGAGTGTCCATGCTGAAAGGCCTGTCAAGTTGGCAGCCTCACACTTGACTGACCATAGGCTCATGGGCAAAACAGCCAGGGGTGGCTGCAGCACTGCTGCTGGGGACCCCCCATGACACCCTTGCAGCTGGGGTGACCCCAAAGCATGGGCATGATTGCTGGGGAGGGAGCAATATTGAAAAAGCCTCCCTGAGCCTGTCCCATGCCCCAGAGAGCCTGGAAGGGGTGTCACGGAGGGTTGAGTCCCCAGGGTGGGGCAGGTGGTGCTGCTGGGGTGCAGGAGAAGTAGGGAGCTGGCTCCAGGCAGAGCAGCCCAGGGACGCCACTGAGGACCTCCAGGGGCAAGTCAATGTACTTGGGGTCCTAAGGACCCATACCCTGCTCAGGACTGGGGCAAGAGTCTGGCCATGGCATTACTTTCCTGGCATGGCCACCAGTCCACCTCTCAGTCAATTCCAGTGACTGGGAAGATGCAGCTGGGCTTTTGCTGTGCCAGCCTCCATGGGCTTTCCTGAGGCACCTTCCCAGCCACCCACTCTGGCCATATTCCTTCTCCATGTCATGTCTCCAGCTGCCCCTCAGCTCCCTCAGCCCCAGCCTTTGAGGAGAGCAGCCCTGGGCATAGGGATGGCAGGGGTGCCTGTGGGGATGTATGGTTGGCCCATGCCTCCTTCCAGAGGGGATTCTGCAGGAGGCAGCGGGGCTGCAGTCAGGATGAGTCAGGATGGGCAGCACTGGGCTGCCTCTCCTGGTCCCTAGGGAACCTCTGCATGCCCAGCTGCATGGATGTGCTGGCAGACAGGAGATGTACTGCACAGTGCCAGGGTGTGCTCGGGGAGAGGTGAACAAGGACACAGCTCCTCATAAGCAGGGCAGGCACTGGGCTGAGACCCAGCTCTCGAGTGCAGGGGATGGGCAGGGAGGCAGCTGGCCCCTCCACACTCTGTCAGAAGCCTGTGGGGAAGGGTGAGCATCCTCATCCTCTCCAGGTGGAGCCCCACACCCAGGGCAGCCCCACTGGCTCTGCTGTCAGAGGGACCAGGAGGAGGGGGGTGGGTCTCTCGCCTCACTGCGGGAGGAGATTCCGACGCTCCCATCTCCGGGTGCCCCCGTTGCCAGGGGTGTCATCTCTTGCAGTCATCGGTGTCGGTGTCTGGCAGCCCGGCGGCAGGCTGGGAGCTGGGCTGGACTGCTTGCACCCTCTCCTCCAGACTGCCACCCGGGAACACCACGTAGCGGGCGCTGACACGCTGGGGTCGTGGCTCCCGCAGGTTCTCCTTGCTGTGCCAGATGCCATAGCCAAAGTAGACAAGCAAGCCTGCAGCAGGGACAGAGACAGCAGGGGCTGCAGCACAGCCTGGCTGCTGGCACCGTCATGGCTGGCACCACAGTGGAACGCGGCACAGATGTGGCCAGTAACCCAGCAGAGCAAAAAGCTAAAGCACCACGGGGGCTTAACTGAGCTGCACACAGGAGGAAAAGTGTCCTGCCCAAGGTTATAAGCATGTTAAGAGCAAGGGGAGCACCCTCAGTCCCTGGGAAAGGGAAGGACATCCTGAGCCCCAGGAAGCTGCCTCAGGAGCAGGGGGGTGGTTCTGGCTCAGGACTTTAAAGAGGATCTGAACTTTTAACAGGAACAGCTGTAACACTCTGGGAAACAGAGAGGCTCAGGAGATGCTGGGAGACCTCGCCTTGCGTGTCCATAGGGGAACTGGAGGCAGAAAGGGGCAGGATACACTTTACAGACTCATAAATGGGGGAGAGGAACTGCCAAAGCAGCTGGAGAGTGCCAAGACAAACCCTGTTCCCCCTCCCCTGAGCAGCCATGGGAGCACTCACCCAAGAGGAGCCAGACGGCGAAGCGGAGCCACGTCATGTAACTGAGCTTCAGCATCAGGTAGATGTTGAGGATGATGCTCAGCGCTGGGGAGAGGGGTACCAGGGGGATCTGCAAGAGAAAAGGAGTTGGCAGGGGTGAGACCTGCAGGACCACATTCTCAATCTTTAAAATCATAGGGACAAAAGACAGCACTGGCAAATGCGTGGGACAAAGGGACTGTCACCTTGGGATTTCTAGAAGTGGCACTTTTTAAAGAAAAAGGAACAATGGAGCCAGGAGCTGGGAGCCAGGCTGGCAGGTGGGCACAGGCATCATCATGAGGACCGAACAAGCTCCTGGAATGATCCTGAGCCAACGTGGTCCTTGCTAGAGGAGCCAGGGCAGGGGCATGGCAGGGAAGTGGTATCACCACTGGTGTTATGAAGCTGCACTGACTACATCAGGGATCAGGTGGGCTGAAAACAGGAGAGGGGAAGCACAAGAGGCATAGAAGTGGTTTGGAGGCTGAAAATGGGCTCCACCACACAGCTGAAGGGCAGCCAAAGTAAGGAGCTGAGGCAGCAGAGGAATTGTGGGGATGCAGAGAAGGGAGCCCAAGATGGACAGAAGCAATCCCTGGGATCCATCCCATGGGATGGACACAGAACTGCTGGGGATGTCCCCTCCTGGGAACCAGTGGCCACAGAGTAACAGCAGAGGCACCAACACTCCCCACACACAGTGTCCACAAACACCCTTTTCCTCCTCTCCTCCCTCCTCCTCCTTCAGCAGCTGTGGTGCTTTCAACCAAGTGCTGTGCCTGGGAGCCCTGCAGGTCCATCAGAACTACTCCCACCTCCCTTTCCCCTGCAGAGGGATTTCCTGCCTGGGCCCTGGGCATACCTGGAAGGTCTGGGTGCTGTGCTGCTGCTCGTGTGCCCAGATGAGGAGGAGGCTGAGCAGGAAGCCCAGACTGAAGAGGACCAGCAGCAGGGAGTAGCTCCAGGTGGGCAGGTGGAGGTGGGTGTTGCCAAACACTAAGATGGAGCAGAGGCAGATGGCAGACACCATCAAGGTCACCACAGCCACCGTGACTACCTCACCCGGGTAGAAGTCGCTGAGGAACTCCAGGTAGGGCTCAAAGGCTGCCTTCAGCTGCCCTGGCTCCCGCTGCTCTTTGCTCTTGTCCCTGTCCACCAGCTGCAGCTTGTCGGAGAAGGACTCATACTCCTTCAGCTCGCCCCTGGATGGGCCCTCATGGGGCTCAGGGTTGGGCTGGCCACTGGCCGCCGGTGCAGGGACATCCCCCTTCTGCTGCTGGAAGCGTAGGACGATGATGCTGGCGGCCACAAAGGTGTAGGCCAGCAGGGTGCCGATGGACAGGAACTGCACCAGGGCCTCCAGGTCAAAGACGAGGGCTAGCAGGGCCATAAGCAGCCCGAAGACCACGATGCCAACCACGGGCACCTGTGTGCGGGGGTGCACTCGGGAGAAGACCTGAAAGAAGAGCCCATCCTCGGCCATGGCGTAGACGATGCGTGGCAGGGAGAAGAGGTTGCTCAGTAGAACTGTGTTCATTGCTGAAGGACAGGTAGAAGAAGGAAGACCCCATCAGACCCAAACCCAAACTGGAGATTATTCCCAGCCCCCAAGGCAGGAGAGTGGGCAGCTCCCTCCCACCACTGCCTGTACTCACCACAGATGGAGCCAGCAGCCACCAGAAACCCTGCCCAGGCGTAGCCCCTCCTGTAGAATGCATCAGCCAGGGCAGAGTCAGGATCCAGCGTGTGCCAGGGCACCATCAGCGTCAGCACAACTGACACCAGGATATAGGCACCAGTGGCCAGCCCCAAGGAGAAAGCAATGGCCCTGGGGACAGCTCTCTGCGGGTTCCTGGCCTCTTCGCTGGAGGCTGCGATGACATCAAAGCCCACAAAGGCGTAGAAGCAGGTGGCTGTGCCAGCCATGATGCCTGACAGCCCATATGGGGCAAAGCCACCCTCCTGCGTGCTCCAGTTCTTGGGCTGTGCGAGAACAAAGCCCATAATGAGGATGAAGAGGATGACGCCCATGCTGATGGCTGAGAAGACGTGGTTGAGCCAGGAGGATACTTTGGCCCCAAAGGAGATGAAGGCAGTAGCTACCAGCAGGATGGCAGCAGCCAGGAAGTCTGGATAGCGGGCCAGGAATGGCACCTGCCAGGCACCCACATGGGTCTCGGTGAAGTTCTTGATCTTGTGGTTAAAGATGGAGTCCAGATAGCCACTCCAGGCCCTGGCCACTGCAGCCCCCCCGATCATGTACTCCAGCAGCACGTTCCAGCCGATGAGGAAAGCCCAGATTTCACCCACAGACACATAGGTGAACATGTAGGCAGAGCCTGTCTTGGGCACGCGGGCTCCAAACTCAGCGTAGCAGAGAGCAGCCAGGAGTGAGGCAAAGCCGGCGATGACGAAGGAGACGATGACGGCGGGGCCGGCGATCTCCTTGGCCACAGTGCCTGTGAGGACGTACAGCCCGGAGCCCACCATGCCCCCGATGCCCAGCAGCGTCAAGTCAATGGTGGAAAGGCATCTGTTAAAGGATGTCTCCATCATGTCGTCCTCCAGGGTCTTCACCCGGTTGAGCTTCTGGCAGAAGCGGGTCAGGTCGGTGGAGCGGGGCAGCCATCTTGCCATCGTGGAGGCAGCGGGCCCTGCCCTCAGCAGAGTGAGGCGTCCTCGGCAGTGAGGTCCTGCCTGGCAACCTGGTAGAGAGGCAGGAAGGGGTGAACATTCCCTTGGTACTGAGGTATCAAGTGCTGGGGACAGGGTGCAAAAGCCATGAGGGCACATTCCAGGTGTCTCTGGCTCCTCAGCCAGCATAGAGCTCAGCACAGGGGTGGCATAGGACAGGGACATGTGTCAGTCTGCCAGGTGGCAGGCAAACCACAGCACTCGCAGGGCAGCATCTCCCCATTAAAGCCCAAACCAGTCTGCTCTGGCCCTGATGAAGGTTTCCTTGCTGCCTCCTCTCCACCTTATTCAACATCTACTTGAACTTCACCCTGCTGTGCCAGGACCCCACCACGGGGACATGCAGCCTCTCCCTGCTCCCAGAATCCTGCTGCTTCCCCAGAGGCTGTGGTAGAAGTCCAGGGCAGCTCCCATGGGAGTCCCCAGAGAGACCAAGAAACAGCCAGTGCCAGGGACCAGCCACACTGGCAGCTGCCATCATGACAGTGGGAGGACACAGTGCTAGGGACATTCAGGTGCTGCTTCCCAGCTGCTCCATGGGGTGATTGGTGACTTTGGGGACGCTCTCTGCTCCCAGTTGCCCTCCTTCCTGTCCCAGAAGCCCCACACCTACATAAAAAAAAACGTCCTGCTCGGAGGGCTAGTGCAGCCACACTCCAGGGTCCACATCTCAGAGGCCAAAAGGTCACGGAAAGCCTACGAGATGATGGAATGACAGGGCCGATGATGGCCCGTGAGGACAACGTGCACAATCCCTGCTGGTTGAGACTGCCACCCCTGCACATCCAGGTCCCCGCGACCGGAGGCGCTGGCAGTACCGGGGTCCCCAATCCCAACAAACGCAACAGGCGCAGCTGGGAGGATGCTCGGTGCCCACTGGACACGGAGCATCCCGGCAGTTCGGGGGGTGGCCAAGGGTGGGGACCCCCAGACCGAGGAGGGTGTGGGGGGGTTCCGGATTAATCCTGGGCGGCGAGAGGCGATAGAGCCCCTGCTCAGCCCCGCCACGATGCCGGTTCCGGGCGCCGCCGAGCCCCGGCCCCGATCCCGGCCGCGCTCCCCCAGGACGCTCCCCACAGCGCCGATCCCAGCCCGGCTCCCGGTCCCAGCGGTTGTCGCTCACCTGCGAGGGTGGCCGGCAGCCCCGCAGCGGCCCCGGCCTCACCTGCTCCGCGCCGCCGCCGCCGCCCGGCTCCGCCTCCGGGGCCCGGCGGAAGGGCGGGGGCCGGGCGGGGCCGGGCGGGCCCCCGGCGCATCCCCGCGGTGTCTGCCGGAGCGGGGAGCAGGGGCAGGGGATACCGGGGCTGCGCCTGCAGCCCCTGGACAGAGCAGGCACAGGGGCGTCCCCACGACCCCAGGGTGGGGAGCCCCCGGGAGTGTGTGCCCGGCTGGAGCCGCACAGAAACGGGATACAGGGTAGTCGTGGAGATATTCCGAAGGCTGCAGTCTGGGGTGGTCCGGAGACACGCTGGGAGAGCTGAGGGTGTTCAGCCTGGAGAAGGCTCCAGGAAGATGTTAGAACCCTTTCCCATGCCTAAAGGGGTTCAAAAAGAGCTGGAGAGGGACTTGGGACAAGGACCTGGAGTGACAGGGGGGAATGGCTTCCTGCTCACAAACGGCAGGATTACATGGGTTATTAGGAAGGAATTCTTGGCTGAGGGTGGGCAGGCCCTGGCACAGGGTGCCCAAAGCAGCTGTGGTTGTCCCTGGATCTCTGGAAGTGCCCGAGGCCAGGATGCACAGGGCTTGAAGCAACCTGTGATGGTGGAAGGTGTTCGTGCTCATGAGCTTCTAACCAAGGTCTGTTCTAACCCAAACTACTCTGTGACTCTAATGGAGCAGTTATCCCAAATCCCATCCACTGAATGCAGTTCTGGCTGGAGCAGGGGGCTGAGATCTTGCTCCTCTGCCTCTACTCACTCTGCTCTGGAGCAGCTACCTGAAGGGCAGGCACATCCTCTGTGTTCAGGTGTTTGTCATGAAGAAACTGAGGTGTGGAGAAAGCTGTGGGAGGGGGAGCTCCTGAACAGGCCCCTCCAGTTCACAGTTCTGCCTGGCCAGGAGCACAAATCCTGAGCAAAACCTGTGGTACTTCCACCTGGCTCCGCAGGGCAGTGAAGGGGAATCACCTCTATCCATCTCTAAGTCAGTGTTTCTTTTCCAGAAGTGCTTCACCTCCTCTTGAACCACTACAAACCTTCTCCCTCTCCAGCCCCCTGGGATAGGAGTTTCCCAAGCAGTCACCCATCCCACCCAAACCTGCCTGTTACAGGTACCCTGTAATGCTACTACTTTTGTATTTCTAGAGAGTGAAGTCCCTCTCCATGTCGCCCATAGTTTTAACTCCACCCTGGCCCCTCTTGTGCCCTTTGTCAAAGATAAAGGAGGCCAGCTCAGCTGGAAGGTATTCCAGATCCCTGGTGTCCCCAGGGCCTTTGCAGAGCTTGTTCCATCCCTACCATGCCTTTGTCAGGTTGAAGGAATTTGCATTTAGGTGTTTCACAGCAGCAACATGTTTTTCATTTTCTTCTCTGATCCCCTTCTCATGTCTCATTTAATTTTCTGATGGCTCCTGGGCACTTAAACTGACATTTTCATGGACCCACCAGTCACCACCCCAAATGTCACCCTCAAGTTGCACCCACAACTCAGAGCCCACACTGCAACTCTTGAGGGCTCCCACCTGAACACACATGCCTTTATCCACACTGGATCAAGCTCCTTATATGGAGGAGACCTTGCTCTTCTCCTCAACAGCCCAAAATATAGGAAAAGGAAGGAATAAACAGGACTTGTCCCTTCCTGCCACCCATTACTCACCTTCCACCAGCTCCTAGGTGAAGATGGGGCTGGCATGGAGCCATAGCTCTCATGTTAGTCACCTTGCACCTGAACAGGGAACTTGATCCTGGGGTTGCAACTCCTCTCCATGTCATTTCTGGCATACATGGAGCTCTGGGCAGGCACCTTTGGTCCAGGTCTGTGGATGCCTGAAGCCAAACACATGTTCCTGGAACACCAGTTGGGAGTTTGGGAGCTGCACAGCTGAACCAAGGAGATGAGACAGCCAAAACCCAGCAATTTCCAGCCTCCTCGGGATGCTCTCACCAGGTCTGCCCTGTGTTACTGGCAGTACCACAACTGCAGTGGCTGGGGCACAGCAATGCTGTGGGATGGTGTCACCCTCTGGTGACACAAGGACACTTGCTTAGAAAAATATCAGCATCCTCCACATTGTACTGTCCAGCTTCAGGGGCTGAGCAAGTGTTCCTCTGCTGAAATCCTGCTGATCTGATCACAAGCCATCCCAGGGGCTTTGCTCCCTTAGGATAACCTTTCCCACCAGCTACCCATGCGTAACCCCCCTGCAGCTCTCCACCCCGGCCTTTCTGAAACCCAACCTGACCACAGGCATGGAAAATTTCAGCTTGGATGCAATCAGCTGCCTGGCAGAGCCATCTGCAAACAGATGGCAGAAGCAGGAAGCCTGAGAGCTGCTGTTGTCATGGCAGTGCCAGAACAGCCTCTGGCACCGGCTCTCCTTGTAGACAGCAGCAGCCCTGGGTCACGGGGGCTCTGGACCAAGGTGGACTCCATCCTTCACCCCACAGGGCAGCACAGTGGGGCTGAACCCACGGGCAGTAGCCTCGATCCCAGCTCCTCCAGCCACACCCTCACTCTGCTGCTGCTCCAGCCATTCCAGAGAGCTTGTGTAGAGGAAAGGGAAGCTTCTGGGAGGCAGTGGGATGTGCCCAGCACCTGGGCATCCTTTCCTGCCATAGAACCCACTGTTCACCCCTGCCTTCCCTATCCTCACCTCAGGAAGCAATTTCTTTGCCAACTGCTCTGGTTACAAACCTGACCAGATGCCAACTTCACCCAGTCTGCACCAGTGGCTACCCTGTGTCCTCCCAGGAGGATGTAGATGTCTCCAGAGGTGAATGTTGCCCACCTTGCCCCTCACCACTGCTCAGTAATGTAGCACAGAGCTTCCACCTGAGGGTCCACTGGCAATACAGCTCCAGGAGCTCTGTGGGGACTTTGCAGTGGTGCAGGTCCCATACCAGCCTGCTTTCCAGATGAGGACTTTCATCCAGGAGTTGAAGACTCCACACAAGCAGTAGGTCTTGTCTCCAGCTGCTGAATCACAGCAGCATCATCCCCATGGGGAGGGAACACCCACACATGACGGAAATGGGAGAGGGACTCAGCCCTGAATTTCCAAAAGCCCCCTTGGTCCTTATAACTCTGATCTTGAGTTTGTCTCCTCCAGGACCAGCTCTCCCCATCATAAGGCCACCCACAAGCTCTTCCAACACAGTGAAAGATCTCAGAAACACTCCAGGTTCCTCCCCAGCTTCCATCTAACACACCACAAGCCCCAGATTCATCAACTAAGGACAGGACAAACACAACCACTGGCATTCAGAAAGCTGCACCCCGAAAAAGAAAGTGTTTTATTTCTCTTAATTTGGAAACTGGTTTAAAAGAACAAAGCAAAAGCTCTGCTTTCTGAGTCAGTGGGAACACTGCAAGCACCAGTCCAGTAACTCTAGGCCGAGGCCTGAAATCCTCCTTTAATACAGATAATGCTGGCCAGCATACAGATAAATGAATACAGATAATGCTGGTACTGGCCTGGAGGAGACTCTGGGAAGGGTCTGCCTGTCTAAGAGGTTGTTTCTGCCTTAACACACAGAAACATCCTTGGAATTCTTTCCCCCCCGTTATATCATCTAAACACAGGGTTACCCTCATACAGCGGGGTTCTCTGTGCTCGGTGCTCAGCCCAGCCTTGGCTCAGTGATGGCCTCAGCACCACTGCAGAACAGTCGTAACAGGTGACCATGCTCCATCAGCTCCCAGCTGAGCCAGATGCAGCTGACACTACTGAGGATCCTGAGAGCCATCCCCAGGCTCCCAACCATCCCTGTGATGGGCTCTGCCGGCCCCAGCTCTAATCTAAGTGTCTCAGCAATTTCTTCTACTCCTGTAGCTTCTTCCTGACACAATATAAAGCAAATGCATGGACAGTCTGTTGTTTAGAGGGAAGTCAGAGGAAAAACTCTGGGAAGTGAACAGCAGATTTGCTCTTTCAGGAAAAAGTCTTCTCAGTCTCAGCTTCCTTCTGCTGCAGTTTCCGAATCAGCTCCAACAAATTCATCTGTAGAGTCAGCTCCTGCAAAGGGAGAAAAATGTTAGTGCAAGTAGATGATTCCATTTCCTGCTGCAGAAGGACTGGCCTGCACCATCTCCCCAAGAGCTTCTTGTTCTTAGGGAATTACAAAAAAATCAACCAGTCAGCTAAAAACCAAATGCTTCATCTTGTTCAGGTGTTTCTCTAAAACACGGAGCAGTGACATCTTACCAGATCTGCTGCAAACTGTGACTGTCTTAGGAATCCCAGGACTTGAGGATTCCTTAAGGATCCAGAGAGGCTCTTTCTTCTTGACCATGATAAATGTGCTAGGGGCTATGAGGGCTGGCCAGTTCTGCAGGCTGAGGAGGGGCAGCAGCCCCAGGAAAGGTTCTCCAGGCCTCTCCCCACACCGTCTCCAGCTTCCTGACCCCTTCCCAGTACAGAAGGGCAGGAAGAGGAGGGATTGCTTTGGGAACCCTCTTATTGGGATCCAAGGCAGGTGCAACACATGGCTGTGCTGGTGCATCAAATTCCCTGCAAGCATTTCATTCCCTATTTCTGAAAAACTCCCTTTTCCAGAACCACAGTCTAGTGGAGACATCAACATTAGCTCACAGTTCCTTTGCCACCTGCTCGTTCTTTAGTTACATCTAGCTCAGAGAAAACATGGTGGAGCCAATAATTTGCAAGTGTAGGTCTGTGACTCAGCCCTGTAGACATGGAGCTATGGAAACAAAAATCTGTTTTTGTAAAAATATATCCCTGCACAAGGAAGCATTTCATACAGACTGGGGGGGTAACACATCAGCTGATGGGAACCACGTGAACAGATTCCAGCAGGGATTTCTTCGTGGCACTCACAGGCACAAGCCAAGATCCGGGTTGAGCTTGGCACCCATCCTAAAGGCAAACATACACAAACCCAGCAAAGAGGAACCCTAACAAGGTTTATTACTTACAAAAACAACATGAAGGGCAGGGCAGGAGGGAGAGAACGGGCTCTCTGCATTATACAACCAGGGAATAGAAATACTGGAAAAATGAGAGGCTTGTTCAAGCTCCACAACTGGGAATCATGCTGGTGGGTGTTATAAAATGTGTGTTTAGCTTCATTTAAGCTGCCTTTTCTCAGCAGTAGGTTTTTATCAAAGTGACATTTAATCAGCTGAAAAAACAGAGTTAAGAACAGCCTGTCTCTGTGTCCCCTGCAAACTTGTATGGCTTTACAACAAGACTTGGGAATTTTGAGTTTTTTTGTTCCTGCGGTGGCTGGAACAAAGTACATAAAGGAATAAATAAATTAGGACAATGTGGACAAACCCAGGTGACTCCTCAGATAGTTTGAGAGCAAATGCCCTGAGGAAACTGGGAACAAATCTTTAATCAAAGCCTGAGATCATCAGCTCCAGCAAGTCACATGCAAGAATGAACAAGGTGCCTAACAGTCTTGAAGTCAGTTTTAATAGCTAAGCTGAATAAAAATGCAGTAAATGAATTCTTTTAGTACTTTTCAGACCCATTTGAGAGTCACAGGACTGCAGGCTGTTGGCACAGTGTTTTGCCCTTCCACAATGGAAAAAAATACTGCAGGAAGTTGAGAATGCTGCCAAATGGTACCTGGGTTTCTGCTCTTTAGTTATGAACTGAGTACAAGTTCTGTCCAGCATACACCACCCACCAGCAGGGAGGCAAAGGACAGATTGTTCTGTCTGAAACACCCATCCCCAATTTATCTACAGCAAATTTTTAAAAAATAATTAAAGATACCAACCCAACAGCACTGTCAAACAATCATGGAGTGGTTGGGGTTGGAAGGGATTTTTAAAGGTCATCCATTCCCACCCCCTACCATGAGCAGGGACACCTTCCACTATGCCAGGCTGCGCCAAGCCCCATCCAGCCTGGCTTTGGACACATCCAGGGGCAACCACAGCTGCTCTGGGAAACCTGTGTCTTACCAGCCTTCCAGAGAATAATTTCTCCCCAATATCCTACCTAAGCCTGCTCTCTGGCTGTGGGAAGCCATTCCCCCTTGTCCTGTCACTCCAGGCTCTTGTGAAAACACCTCCCCTACCGTGCCCAGACACCAACCTGGGGGTTGGTGGTGATGTAGAAGCCAGACACCCCGGCCTTCTCCAGGGTGCTCTGCTGGTCAATTACTTTTTGGTCCAATTCCAAGACTATTTTCTCATCCATCATTCGCTGTTCTTCTCGGATCTGTTGCTCCATAGCCTGGAAAACATTAAAGCCAGTGAAAAAGTGAAATATCTGCCTTCCTCCCATCTTTTTCTCATCTCTAAGATTTTTACTTGGAACCCAAGAGCAAGCAGGCCCTGAATCTCTCCTGATGAGTCCAAGGATAGCAGTGGGCAACCCGCACAGCCCCAGGTCTTAACACCTCCAACTGCAAAGCTGCCACTCAAGAAAATGCAGGGAAGTCATGGGAACAGCCTGCTCTCTGAGTGTTTGGAGGCCAGGAAAGACCATGAGGAACCGATCAGTGTCTGAATCACTTTCTCTGATTAGTCACCACCTGAGCTATGGCTGAACTCAGCCCAAGAATTATGTGCCCCTCTCAGGTGAGGCTGAAGGAATCCTTGGAGGAATAACCTCAACAAGATGGCTCCCTGGACACTCATATGGAACTGGAACTGTAAACCCCATACAGATCCTATTTATTTGTGAAAGGATCTGAATGCTGGGCTCAATTTTTGACAGACTAAGAACATTATGAAAGAAGGACTTTGCCAGAATTGCTCCAACCAGGAGGACATGGCCACTCTTGCCTCACCAACATCTGCCCAAACTTCAGCAGAGTTTCTGTGCTGCCTCCAGAGAAGAAAGGAGCCCAGCAAACAAATGCATGGTGGAAATCAGGAGTGGAAGCAGAAAGCAGGACAGCAGGGGACAAGAAGAGAACATATCAAGTAAAGAGCCCCATGTGTGCGGAAGTGATACAAGCTCACCAGGCTGCACTGAACAGCAGACTTCCTTTGCAAGCCACAGGGAACACCAGGAATCATGAAACCCCATCAAAAACCAATGACAGGCTCATTTTTGTAGTGTGGGCAGCAGAGTGAAGGGGCAGATTCTGCCGCTCTGCTCAGGTGAGACCCCACCTACAGAGCTGCCTCCAGCTCTGGGGGCCTAGCACAGGAAGGACCTGGAGCTGCTAGAGTAAGTCCAGAGGAGGGCAAGGAGATGCTCCAAGGGCTGAAGCCTCTGTGTGACCTCAGAGCCCCTTCCAGTGCCTAAAGGCGCTCCAAGAGAGCTGGAGAGCGACTTGGGACAAGGGATAGAGTGACACAACAAGGGGAATGGCTTCAAATGAAGAGGGCAGAATTAGATTGGATGTTGAGAGGGAATTCTTCCTTGTGAGGATGGTGACACACTGACAAAAGTTGTCCAGAGAAGCTGGGGCTGCCCCATCCCTGGAAGTGTCCAAAGCTAGGTTGGATGGGGCTTGGAGCAACCTGGAATAGTGTCAGGTGTCCCCACCCATGGCAGGATGTGGGACTGGATAAACTTGATGGTCCCTTCCAACCCAAACCATTCCATGATTCTGCGCTTCTTCTGCAAGAAGTAGGAAATAAATAAACCATTAGAGAGTATCCAAAGGAAGGCAACAAACATGGTGAAGTGCTTTGAGGGGAAACCATATGAGGAGTATATGGTCTGTTCAGCTGGAGACTGAGGGGAGACCCACTGAAATTAAAACTTCCTTGAAAGGGAAAGAGGAGGGGCAGACACTGATCTGTTCTCTGTGGTGATCAGTGATAGGACCTGTGGGAATGACTTGAAGTTGTGTCAGGGAGGGTCAGGCTGGATATCAGGGAAAGGTTCTTTCCCCAGAGGGTGCTGGGCACTGCCCAGGCTCCCCAGGGAATGGAGAGCTCCAGGAGCCTTTGGACAGCGCTGCCAGGGATGCCCAGGGTGGGGTTGTTGGGGGGTCTGGGCAGCGACAGGAGCTCACTGGATGGCCCTTGTAGGTTTCTTCTAACTTAGCTTATTCTGTGATTCTGTGAAAAGCTTAAAGTTACAACATTTCGTTCATGTAATGCTGCCCCTTTGTAACAGAGAACACAGGCAGATGTTCAGCTGGAAACATCCATGTGGTTAAACTACCCCCACTACACAGAAAGGCAGAAGTCACAAACCCCAGTGGCTGGTGGTTAAAATGGCCTCGGGGGGGAGCTGAACACCTCCATCCAGCCACAATTCCTGGTGGAAATCCAGAATTTGTGTGACAGAACTCTTGGTCATGAACAGTGTGGGGAAGGGCTGAGGTGTGTCTGCAGCAAGGGTATCCATGGGTCTCTGGAAAAGGTGTGACCTAACAAAGAGCAGTTGTCACTCACATAGGGCAGGAGCTACCTCTTGGAACCTCTCCTGGATGTAGAGCCCACAATTAGCACGTCACAGTGAGAAACCTTCACAGAATCACCTGCAGTTAAGGAGGATGCAGAACTTGGATCCACTAGAAGGTGACTACACAAAATCTGCTCAGAGAAAACATTCAGGGCAGAATCTCATGGCAATAAATGGGAAGAAACTCAAGACAACTCCAGCCCCAACAGAAGGAAAGACACAGTGATGACTGCTCCTTCACCAAAGGATGCTGAGGAACAAACCTAAGCAAGCTCTGTCCTCACACTTTCTTCAGTCCAGGGGTTCACTCCCTTTGTGGGAAACACAAGAGATTAAAACGCCTCATTTCCCAGATTTTCCTTCCTCCCACCCACCTCAGTGTGCCATTGCCTCCTTCACTTACTATGCTGGAGGACTGACTTTCTTTGAGCTTGAAAAAACCACCCAAATCTAAGTGTCTCACATTGCTTAGTGTTGGCATCTAATTCTGGGTTAGAGAAAAGTGCCGTATCTTGGACAAATCTGAGGCACACAAGCTTTGCTTCAGCCCTGCTGCCCAAGGACCCTGCACGATGGGCTAAGCTTTTCTAAATGCCATGAGGACCCAATCATCTAAATCATCCACCTTGTATTACCTGTGCTGGGAGACCAATCCCCGGCTATCTCATGGGAGCTGGTCATGGCAACTTTTAACCACAGAGGACACCTCCAGTTATACACATATCAGATATAACAGAGATGATCAAACTGTTCCCAAAATGCTCTACAGCAGAATTGTCAGTGGATAAAGACAGGAAGTGACTCTATTAACACCTGGGAGAGGAAAACAGAAGAAAGGTAGAGGGCAGGTAGGAGGAAGTTGCACAGCATGTAAGACAAGGAGAAGTGAGACATATTTGGGCAATTTAATGAAATACTGGAAGTGTTTAAAACTGGCAGTAGAGATTATTGCTGGAAGTCTGATTTACTTAGAGACAGAAGTAACAAGGACAGGTACCAGAGGTCCAGCCTGGTTTTAGTTACCTTAACAGGAAATGAGGAATGTGGAAACACCAAAGAATCCAACAACAGCAAGCACTGACATGGTGCTTGCCATAGGCCAAGGCAGGAAACTTTTCTCATTCACCTAATGTGGACCAAAGCAGTTTACCCCACATTTCAACTCCACTGATTAACATAACCAGCTACTTGCCATTTTCTTACATTACAAAACTGCCTCTATCTATCAGCAAGAGGTGACAGAAAAGTCCTCTGGGACTGAATCTTTTTGAAATGCTTTGGGATGCTCTCAGAAATCTTACTGTAATTATGAAACTGGAGGTGCTTCCTCCTTATCAATGGTACTCCTATAGGACAGGTACACCTATCCCATACAGGCTTCAGCCCATCAGATAATGATGGATCATTAAAGTGCTGTGGACAGCATTGCCTTTGGAGCAGGCTCCTGAGCTTCCACAATTCTCAGATCACACCAGGGATGGCAAGAGCCTTGAGGGGACAAAAGGTAGAGCAAGAGGAGGCAGCCTCTAGACCCAGGTAGGGAACCTAGGTCTGTGCTAGCACAGCCAGCCAGGACAGCTGGTGTCTCCTGAGGCTGCAGGATAGGAATATCCCAACCCTCTGGAGATGCTGCAGAGCTCCTGCAGCAACAGGGCTGTGAGAGCCCTGGGAAGGGACACAGCTCTGCACCCCTGCCACCCCCACCCCATCTCCAGCCCAGCCCCTCTCACCTCCATCTCGCGCTGCTGGGCTGCACGGAGCAGAGGCAAGTTGTGGGGTCTGCAGCACTGCTGGGCCTCCTTGTGCCGATGGAACAGCTCTTGCTTCAGCCCTGCTAGGGGCACGGGGGGGCTCAGGAGGGCATGCTGCTGCCAGGTGCCCCGAGTGCCACTCCTCCCTCCCTCCCCGCAGTGCCCTCCCCATAGCGTGCAATGTATTCTCTATAGCTCCCTTATGCCCTTACAACCCACCCCCAAACGCCCCAAACCTGCCTTTCCAGTGCCACCCCCAAACACCCCCAACCTGTCCCTCTCAGCGTCATCCCCAGCCCCCAGTGTCCCCACCGCAGTCCCCCAGTGCCCTCTAGTGCCACCCGCAGTGTCCTCCACTGTCTCACGATCTGCCCCCTCAATGTCACTCCCCACTCCGCAGTGCCATCCCCAAGCCCCCACTGCCCCCACAACCTGTCTCCGGTGTCCCCCCACCGCCCCCATAACGTCCCACCCCCAGAACCCCCCCCCGAACCTCCTCCCCACCCCAGAGATGCCCCAGGCCCGTCTCCCCCCGCAGGATCCCCATCACTTCTCTGGAGTGTCCCCCCATTTCTCCTGAGCTGTCCATCCCCTCCCGTGCTCCAGGCCGGCCGCCCTTGCGGCCCTCGCCCCAGCGCTCCCCTCCCCGCTCCCCGCGGCGCCCCAGGACTACGGCCACGGCGGGCCCGGTACCGCGGTGCTCGCTGTGCAGCTGCCGCCGCTGGCTGTACAGGTTCTTCTCGGTGAGGTGCTGGATCTCCAGCAGCCCCTGCACGATCTCGAACACGGTTCCGTCCAGCAGCGCCAGCGCCAGCTCGGACAACGTCGTGTACGAGAGGCGCTGCTGGCAGGCGCTGCGGGCACAGACCGGGTCAGCGCCGGCACCGGCAGCGGCCCCCGGCCCCCCTCGGGCTCCGCTCACCTGGGCAGCGCCTTGACGAGCGCCTGCAACTCGGCCAGCAGCCGGTAGTGCCGCTCCTGCTGCCGGGACAGCACCTCCTGCTGCTGCTGCTGCTGCTCGGCCGCCTCGAACCCGCCGGGCCGCGCCACCGCCATCGCCCCTCGCCCTCACCGCCCTCCTGCGATCTGCGCCTGCGCAGGGCAGCGCACCCTCGCCCTCCTGCCGCAACTTGCGCATGCGCGGGGCCGCCCCACGTCTCCATCGCCCCGCCCCGCCCCCGAGACGCTCAAGCCTCGCCCCTCCGGCCTGCACAAGCCCCGCCCCCGGAGTCAGCCAATCCCGACGCAGTTCCTCCCTGTGACCACGCCCATTACCCCGCCCCTTGCCGCTCCCGGTGGCGACTCCCCCCCCTCCGGCTCCGTGCCGCCCTTCCCGCTCCGTGCCGCCCTTCCCGCTCCGTGCCGCCCTTCCCGCTCCGTGCCTCCCCTCCCGCTCCGTGCCCCCCCTCCCGCTCCGTGCCTCCCCTCCCGCTCCGTGCCCCCCCTCCCGCTCCGTGCCGCCCGTCCCGCTCCGTGCCGCTCCCGGTGGCGATTCCCGCCCGTCCCGCTCCTTGCCGCTCCCGACAGCCCCGGGACCGCCCCGGGATCCCCCCGGGCCCCGGCCGGAGATTTCCAGGCGCTTCCGCCCCGTGGGATGCACGGGGAGGAATCTCGGACTATCCCCCTGCTCCAGCTTGGAAGCAGCTACAGATGTTTTAAATGACTTTATCAGGAGCGTTTCAGACGTAATTTGTTCGCTTTGGAGTGGATGAGTCAAAAGTGGGCGACAGGGTGGCTTCAACCACGGCCAAAAATGTGGTGCATCCCCAGCACTGTGGGATTGCGCTGTGAAGTAATTCCAGCCTGGAGTGGGGAGCATCCTCTGTGGACACTGCGCCAGGGTCGGGCTGGGCAATGTTTGTGGATGTTTTGGGATGGATGAGGTAGCACGGCTGCCCACATCCCTTCCAATCCCTGAAAACACACGGAGAGTTGCATGCTGGCATGGTGATGGGTCCTTCCCGTGCGTGCTGGGGTGTGGGAGATGAGAAGTGGAGAAGGATGAGCTGTGCATTCATGGCAGCAGAGCACAGGAAAAGGTTCCTGTCTTAAATTAGTAAGAGGAAAGATTCATTGAAATGGGTTAAAAATGTCTTAAAAATCCTGGATGTAATAGGACTTCAAAGCCTACAGAAGCTGCACTGCTGCTCAGGGAGACTGGAAGGAGCAGAGAGAACACAGAGTATCTCCAGCAAAATGGGGTATCCTGAAAACATCCCTGAATGGAAATTACTTTCTTTCCCCCAGTTCAATGCCTTAAATTTCCATTCAAGGATCCCTAAATCCCAAGTGCTGGAGAGGCTTTGGGTGGGCTGACTGCAGATTTCTCTATGCCTGGGCTACTTAGACCTTATGGAGTTGACCGTGCTGTGTCCATCTGTCCAGCCTGTCCCCTACCCATCTTTCCCTCAGCCTGGTAGAAACACCTCCATGGAATGATTTCCTCAGGAGCCACCACGAGGTTTTGCTGTACTGGAGCAGCGAAAGGCTGAGTGCTGCAGCCTCTGCTGAGCTGCTGGGTAATGGGAATGGGTCCTTTAAAACAGAGCTATGAGCTGTGCTGCCCAGCTTCGACTGGGACAGTGGCCTGGATCAGGATGAAAGCATGCCCAATACTTTGCCGTACTCCTCCATGAAGATTTGATGGCAGCTTTTGCTAAATATCCCCTTCTGTGTGTCACCTGCTGTCACAGAGTTTTGCTGTCCCGGGGAATACCCCCAGCAGCACAACCCAAAATCCCATTGATAGTAATGCTCAGATATGGTGATGAAGGCTTCACCTGAAGCACCAGAGACCAGCTGCCTCCCCTGGCATGGCTGCCTGTACTGCTGAGGGTGTAAGAGCCACCTGCCTTGTCCCCTTCAGCGTCACAGTGCCATGGGCATGGCACAGTGAAGGCAGCCTCTGCCTTTACTGCTCTCATGGCTTCACTGGGCTTCTGCTCCCTGCCCAAGGCTGTTTCGGGGGGCTTTCAAGCCTGGGAGTGTCTGGCTGTGGGGACCCTGAGCAGCAGCAGGCTGGCGGCTGTGCAGGAGGCTCTGGTGGTGCGTGGCCGTGGCCGTGGGCCGCGGCCATGGGGAGCCTGTGCATCCCTGCGGGTGGAAAGCGGCGTGGCTGGGCAGCTAGCTGAGGGAGGCTCAGCCCAGGGAAGAGGAGGGCACATGCCCAGGGACACCCTGCAGCAGTGCCAGCAGGGAGCAAGCACCACCTGGTGCCCCTGCACCCCTGTGAGGGTGGAGGGAGGGGGGCCAGGGCCTCTGCTCTGCCACGGACATTCCTCTCCCTTCCTTTGTGCTGCAGGAAATCTGCGCTTCCTCCCTTCCCAGTGCTGCTCCCGGCTCAATCGCTACCAGATGTGGGTCCCATGCATTTCTCATTAGCCCGGCAGCTCTGGGCGCTGCCTCTGCAGCCTGCAGGGCTGGCGACACAAACGCTGGGATCCTGGGGCTCCCGCAGGGAGGCAGGGATCGGGGCTGGCATGTGCTCCAAGAGGTACCTGGCCGTGCTTTGCACTGGGATATCGTAGCCGGGCCAGGATGCTGCTGGGGATGCAGGGCGAGCTCTCTGTGGGGATGGAGCTGGGACAGGGTCCTCTGCCAGCACCTGAGCAAGTGCCATGGGCACAGAGGCACGTGGGGTTTGGGTTGGAGGAAGCACCTAAGTGAGCTGGACTGCAGCTGGGTCAGCCATTGGGGACAATCTGCAGCCCTGGGCTGGCTCTGGGAATGTAGGAGAGGTGGGTGGGTGGCACATGTGGGGACTGGGGCTGGAGAGCACAGTGACCTGGGGTGTCCCATGCTCTGTATGTCTGGACAGGGAATTAATCAAGATATGTTGGGATGTGCAGAAGGCTCCTGAGGGGTGGGTTCAGGCTGAGGTGGGATAGTCCCTGACCAGCTAACAGTGTTTGCAGTGATGCCACAAGCAGCTCAGGTGACACAGCATGGGTGGGGGAAACACAGGTCCTTCCTGAGCTCCCTAGAACATGCCAGCACCAAGGACAAAACCGCGGCCGCTGCACCCAGGGGCTCCAGAGCAGAAACAACCCTGCACTTACCCAACTGATGCCCAGGAAAAGCCTTAACTGAGCCTGGATTGAACTGTGAAGGGACAGACAGACCTGAGAAAGCTCCTCTGTCCTTCCTCACCCTGTCACCCCCACCATGGAGTGAGAGAGTGGCTGGGGAAGAGCCCAATGGGACTTTTCCTGCTGGGCAGGACGAGGCCACAGTTGGGTGCTCATGGCCATGGGATCTCTGCACTGGGAGAGTGAGATGTTCCTTGCCTTGGCACAGAGGAATCTGTGGCTGATCTTGTCCAGCTGCTGCTTCTTGAGAACCCAAACCAGTTGTGGGGCTTTCCTCATGCTGCTGGTGCAGGGGAGGCTGGGTGGGAGCAGGGGGACAAGAAATCCAACAGGAGTGGAGTGTCTGTGGAGCCTGGGGTATGGGAGTATATTGCCATGGGGAATAATCCCCAAGAACCCTGAGCACACACCTTCCTGCAGGAGATGTCTGTCCAAGCCTGGAGTCCCTGGGAGAGCTGCCACATCACCATGGCTCTGAGTCACCACTCCAGGGCTGGGAGTGGCCTCCCCAACCTTTGGTGAGTGTGGTGTCACCAGACAGCCAGCTGTCACTGGAAGAGGCCAATGCACTGCCAATTCTGCAGGAAACATGGCTTTACTGCCTTTCCTGTGGAGTCAGGGACAGGTCAGCATCATCTGGTCCTTGGGCTGAGAGCTGGCGAGCATCCCAGCAGTGGCTCTGCTGCTGTGGCTTCAGTATGGACCGAGATGGCCTGGGCTGGGGCAGGACTGCGGCTCAGCCCAAGCCATGGTGCCTGCAGTGAGTCCCTGGCTGGCGCCTGAGCCAGGGCTGCAGCCAGGGTTTTCCTGAAGCAGCAACCCCCCGCAGGGCCAGGCTCCTCTCCTCAAGGCTGGATCTGTCTCTCCTCAGCCAGCTTGGCTTGGATGGTTTCCTCAAGTCTCCTCCAACTCCTCTTTGGACCCTCTAAGAGCTGCACCAGCCCTCTGGGGCAGGGTCTCCAGCAGCCACCCTCTGACTCCACCCTGCACTGGCTGCATGCTCACGCACTGCACTAGCTTTGCCACCTGTCCCCAGCCTTGCCCCCTCCTTTTTCAGGCCATTTGGGGCCCTCCCCTCATCCCTCGGGCAAGGGGAGGGCATGGCTGGGACTGCCAGAGCCTCAGCCTCAGACTCACCGGATTTATTCCAATTTAAACACTGCAGAGTAAAAGTGTTTCCCCTGCTCTGGCCTCTGGAGCTGAATATCTGAACGGGAATTTCACCCCTGAGCTGCAGCTAAAATAAGACCTGGATCGAGGTGGTCACTGGCTCTCGGAGGTGCTGGGTGAAGCCTACACGCTCTCCTGCCCGCTGGCTGCTGGTGTAGCTGGGACACCAAGGGCTACTGGGCTGGAAGGGTAGCGTGCAGCATTGGAAACATGTCAGAAAACATGTCCAGGTTTTGGTTGTCTGGGCCAAGTTCCATGGGGACTCAGAGGAGATGCCGCAGCCACGTGTCCTGAGTGTACATTGTTCCTGGGATGGGACATGGATGCTCAGCCAGGGCAAATTCACATGGGTTGTGGCTCAGCAGCTCAGGAGCACCTCATGTCTTTGCCTCCTGCAGAGAGAAGGGTGTCAGGTCTGTTTGAGGTGACAGGTCTGTATCACCCCATGGACAACACCCTGCCTGGTGAGCCTGGGCAAGGGGCAGGAGCTGCTTCCCCTGGACCGGCCAGAGAGGCTCCCAGCTGGCTGGTGCAGGTGCTCCCAGGTCACTGCACAGGGCTTCGTAAGCAAGAAGGACCTCGGGTGAGACTGTAAGTGTGTGGGCTGGGCTGGGAGTTGTGTGCAGGGGCCATGGGCTGCAAGGGGTGAGTGCAAAGCATGTACAGGATGCAAGTGACACAGCAGGCTGCAGGGGACACAAAGGATGCAGCGGGACATAAGAAATTCAGTGAGCTGACAAGAATGCAAGGGATGTAAGGGATGTAAAGGATGCTTAAAGGGCTACAGCAGGCTATTAATAATGCAAGGCATGCAAGGAAGCTGCAAGGGATTCAGAGTGTGCAACGAGATGTAAGAGCTGCAATGGGATGTAAAGGATCCAAAGGATGCAAGAGCTGTAAAGG